TATATAAGGTCAGTTTGAGCAGGAAAATTGAAGGTGGCTAAGAAGAGATAGATATCGTCTGGCCAATGAAAAGTAGATTTGTCTCACTAATGATGATTTGTGATCGCTGGAAGTGCTACTGCGTCGTAAAGTGTTTTCCTGAACGATCTGATACGGGATACATTCATTGGCACTATTGATTCAGACACCATTTGTTGGACTATTAAGTTTAATAACTTGACTCGTGGGTACCTAAATGTTTAGTATTTTAATATTAATTTAATGCAAATGTATGCATACCCAATAATATTAAACAGAAAATCTTTTGTAACTAATATACAATGTTGCGGCTCGGTAAATACGTCGACACTGAAATGAAAATCAGTCTAGCATAGGGAAAATTGGGGAATTACACCGCAAAATGGTGAATTGCGCAGCGGCGTTATTGTGAATCGGCATAAATTGAGCCAGCATAAACCGAGGGCTACTTGTATTGCACTCACTTTTTACTCACTTATTCTGTATTTCAACTCACTTTTCTCACTTTTTCAGAGGGGAAATGGCACTCCCAGGCCTGCTCATAGCAGATTGATTGATAGTTGATAAGTGTCTTGTTTTTCCATTTTTTTTCAATGTAGCTGTAAAAAAGACATAATATATGAATTCAGATTTTGTGGATTATTAAGAAATAAAAGTTGAATTTAACGTGGCCAACAGTAATTTAATAATAATATAATAAATATAATATAAATACAACTTTTAACAAAGATGAAACTTTGCTTCAGTCTTTCTTTCCATTGTTTTAAATCATCCACAGTTCATAAAATCACAATATTGTGATTAAGTGCTGAACAACTTCCACCTCTGTCCTGAACTGAAAACATGGCTAGGAGGGCAGAGGTTTGAGACTAATGACGATTTTCAAAACAATGTTAAGGCTCATCTCAAGCATTCTACTTCAAGGCAGCAACATTCTACAAAGAGGGGATTTGAAAGCTTGTCCACAGATAGACAAATGCCTCAATCTTCACAGTGATTATGTCAAAAAATAACCAGTTTGTACCTAACTTTTGGTAATAAATTCATTTTGTTATTTACACTTATCTTTGTTTTATGGACCATTGGAGGCTGAAAAAAACCACCCTCATATTTGAAGTAGTGAATCTCCACATTGTGCTAAATAACTTATATACAAAGAAAGTGTGAGCTATAAGCAATTACAATCATAGACATGTTTGAAAGGATCGAAAAATGAACTTTGTCAAGACATTATTTTGTGGATGCAGAAAATGATATTGACAACCCAATCCTAAAAGATGAAACAGTTCCATTGACTCATTTCAAGAATAAGTAGAAAGATCTCAAACTTCTATGCAGTGTAATTCAGTAAACTATATGCAGTCTACATTGTATTGTGCTTAATGAATATTGCTTTATTAGAGCTAGCACACATTGTACAACTGATGTATTTTTGGTGAATGTTCAGATGCGTGGACCATCATGGCGGCACTTCCTGTTTTAGCCTCGAAACCTGACGCATTTGGAGACGACGTGTCACGTGACGACGCGAGCGCCTGCGCGACGTGTCGCGTGACGACGCGAGTGCCTGCGCGTGTTCTGAGTGTGGTTTTGCGCCTGCGCGACGTGTCATGTGACGACGCAAGCGCCTGCGCGTGTTCTGAGTGTGGTTTTTTGAAATTTTCGACCGGTTGCAACATCGGAGAATTAGACGGAATACATATAAAACACGCGACAGTAAATCATTCGAAAAACTTTGTGAATCCGTTGGACGGCGTGCATACGCAAAACATCGAAAGGATGTGGGGGACCTTCAAGAACAGAAAAAATCTGCCCCTACACTATACCGAGGAACTTCGAGATTCGTATCTGTACGCTTTTATGTACAAAAAGCATATGAAGTGGGAAAGTCTCAAGCCGGGTGATCGTTTCAGAATTTTCTGCGAACATTTAAGAAAAATGTATCCAGGAGCGGGACGCGAGCCCGAATGGAAGGAGCCAGAAACCGTTCCGGCAGCCCCGGAAGCGACGCCGAAGAATCAACGAAGCGGCGAGACGAGCAAGATCAAAAAGCGCGCCAGAGTCGGCGAATGACTGCGGACAAAGGTGAGTAAAAAAAACTTTTTATTTTGGTTAAAGTCCAGATACTTACTGTCATGGCGGCTCACCGCCGATTCCAGCAAAGAGAAGCAAACAGTGGGGACACACGTTCTAACCTAACCTAAACCTATTCTAATAAATTACCATAATTAATACCGATTATATTAATAGAATAGGTTTAGGTTAGGTTAGAACGTGCGTCCCCACTGTTTGCTTCTCTTTGCTGGAATCGGCGGTGAGCCGCCATAACAGCCGCCGACGCTGCCGCGGCGCATGCAGCAGCCGCCGCCGTTCGCTCGCGTCGTCACGTGACACGTCGTCTCCAAATGCGTCAGGTTTCGAGGCTAAAACAGGAAGTGCCGCCATGATGGTCCACGCATCTGAACATTTACCGTATTTTTCTTTTGCTGTGGGATATTTTACCTAAAAATAGGCTTCTCATACTCAAAGAATGTGTAGAGCTTTTATGAATTATATATATATATACAGTAGGTCTGGAAAATAAACACTGTACGCACACAAATCATTGTAAATGTTGGTTTTCTGCAGTAGTGTTTGTAGGATTTTCAATGAATCTTAATGCCGTATACTCATATACTGCATCATCTTCAAACTGATAAAAGAGCATGTGTAAACAAATTGGAAGCATTCAGCAGTGTGTGCTGATACAAAATGTAAAGCAGTCTGCAATGTTCAAATCACATATAACAACCAATTTTGTGAAAATGCAAAACTTTATGCATTTGTAGCTAGAACTATTTTAAGATAATCAATACAAAACCTTCCTCACTTATCGTACCACTCGTACAACGGCTAGAAATAAGCAAGGAAGGTTTTGTATTGATCATCTGAAAATGCAAAACTTTGGTAAACCAGCTTTTTCAATAATCTGTCACCATTCATCTCATAGATGCAGAATTAATAAACTTCTGTAATTTAGTTTAATGATGATTTCAGGAATTATAATGGCCTTGATAAAGGCAGAAGTGACAAAACATTAAATTAATTCATTATTAAATTTTAATGAAAATTACTGATTTGATAATGAATTCGATCATCAAAAAAGATAGTAAAAAAAAATCATTTCACTATGTTATGATTATTATTTATTTAAAAATTAGTCATTATTTTTCAAAGTTTTAAAAAGTTAATTTGGTGTATCAAAATTTATTAACAGTATTTGAAGTAATACTTATATCTTGTATTATTAGGTGATTGATCGAAGGGTGCGTGAATTATGTGCAGAATCAGTAATATTGCCTTTGGATACTCCTTCGCAACTTCTTATATCAGAAGGATATAGGTATGTTTAATTAATTTATATTTTTAATTCAAATTTAAATTTAATTTTTGAATATTAATTTATTTATTAGGGCAATCATTATTTCTGGTGGACCAAATTCAGTTTATGCCGATGATGCCTTGAAATATGATCCTGATATCTTTCATTGTGGTTTACCAGTGTTGGGAATATGCTATGGCATGCAGGTACAGTACATTTTGTAAATCTTAAATATTTTCCCCCTGTTTAATGGTTTAAGAGAATTTATTGATTATTAGTAATATACATATGACTATAACATACATCTCAAAGCCCGATGAATATATAGAAACATCCAACAATCACCTAAATGATTGGGCTACAATTGCACTAATTTTAAATAAATAAAACAGAGTAAAACAACCAAAGCCTACTCAGCAGAAAATAATAACATAATCAACACCTAATCATTCGCTGAGAGATTTATTATTAAAAGGGAGGGCTTTTTTATACTGCGAAAATATAATAGACATGGATGCAGAAATAGAAAGAATCATGCAGGTAGCAGAAACATTGGGCTACAAGAGGAATGTTATAAAGGGGATTATCAATAAATTAGAAGTTGTTCAAGGGTCATCTACATACACGAAATTTACGTACAACAAGCGCTTAGGAAGCATTATGAAAGAAATCACAGATATAAAAAATACAAGGATGGTATTAAAAAGAGCTCTGAATTTGTACAAAATACTTAGACACGATAAAGGGGTGATTAAAAAGGAAGATATGTTGGGCGTATATAAGATCCCATATGAGAATCAGATATTAGGAATAAATAAATAAAGATTATGTTGGGGTTACTACTAGAAACCTGGGTGTAAGGATAAAAGAGCACAGATATGATATTAGAAAAGGTTCTAATGCCACAGTATTGGCTCAAATAGCACAAACGGAAGGTTCTATAGTATGATGGGATGAGGCGGAAATCCTGAAACAGATACACTCTCCGACTTTGGCAAGAACGGCTGAAAAGTTAGAAATTTATAGAAGCAAACTTAAAGGAAATTGCATCAACGCAAGAGATGCAGAAGGACTTCCTTCCGCCTGGAAGTTTGCAATTAAAAACTTAAAATAGGAGCAGGAACTTTAATAATATTTGTAGTAAAAACTATGTATAGTTAAGTAAGCAATATTAATATTTAGTATTTACAATTTGTTTGTTATTTTTTACTATTTTATTTTATTTTTAATATTAGCAGCATTTGTATTAATTTTATTATTTACAAACATTATTTGGCTATTAATAGCGTATATGTTATCGGTTAATATCTATATTTTGTATTTTGAACTTCTTGTTGTATTTTGAAGTGTTCCATTTTAGCCTGATGATAATCCATTGATTGGATTGAAAACGTTTGTTGTTTTAATAATAAATCTCTCAGCGAGTGATTAGGTGTTGATTATGTTAAAACAGAGTAATTTGCCACTAGAGGTAGATGTTTTGTGCCATCTCTTAACTAAATTAATAATTATAATTTTAATAATTAATTAAATAATTTAAAACCATCTGGAAGAAATTATTAATTTAGTTAAGAGATGGCACATAACATCTACCTCTAGTGGCAAATTACTTTGTTTTATTTATTTAAAATTAGTGCAATTGTTGGATGTTTCTATATACATATGACATTTTGATTTTAAGACAAGATATTTTTAGAGCTGAATCTCAGTTTTATGAATATAAAAAGTATTTAATTATATATACAACCAAAGCATGATTAAACATGGCTAATTAATTATAAACTAATCATATAAGCATGTCAGGGCTAAATTCTAAATAAAAAGCTAAATTCAGCTGAGTGTGTGTCAGTGTCATAGAGTACTGTAGACATAAAATTGTCCCCATTCAGCATAACAAGTGACCTGTATGATATCTTTTAAATTAAATAATCTGGAAGCAAAGTTTGGTCAGAATTTCAGGTAGCATAATTAGAATGCATCTGCATGGTAAGCAGTAGTTATAGGTTTGAGATCTGTTCAGATCGATCTATTCTTTCCTACTGTTCTAAATTAATTTATTTCTAATTACAGTAAAATGTCACTTTGTGGTCACCCTAAAATTTCCCTGAAAAACTGCATAAGTTTTAATATAAATCAAACTCCATCTTTATAGCCACTGGTCACCTCACTTAAGTGGCCAAGATAGGAGTGTCCTAAAATGATATTTATTTCTGTTTATGTGGCTAACAGAATAGAAAAATTTGACATTTCTAAACTCAATCAATGTATTATTTAAAACACTTTCAGTGGCATTGAAGCTTTATTGCTATAGTTTTTGAATAGTTGCATAGTTTTCTCCCACAGATTACATTCAAATAAAATAAATTTAATTTGTTATGTATAAATAAAGATTATTTCCAGAATTTAGTAAGAAGCTAGGCAATTATGTATTTGTTCAGTAATTTATACAAAATTTGATTGCTGTTATATTTTTACAAAATGCAATGATTGCTCTACATTACTGACAAATCACTTACAACACTCAACAAAAAAAAGTATCAATGAGCCTAATGTAAAATATATAAAAGTCACTGAATATGCAGAAGTGTCCTACACTTGCACTCTTCTGTATATTTAGTGACTTCCATTTAATAACTTTTTTGAATACTCCTGATGAATTCAAAATACATGAATGAACTTTACTGCAAACAATTGTATTAACTACATCTATTCTGTATTTCAATATTCTGTTATTCAGTGTTAATGCATAACTCTGAAAGTTTGAATTACTATATATTGTAAAGAATGTATAGTATTATGTGAATTTTTAAATTTAATTTTATCTCTTCTAATTTACTTATTTTTTTGTTTAATTTATAATCTGTGTGAAACTTTTGGTGAGATTAACCACCTATCTCTAGTCCAAATTACATATCTTTATACTTTATTTGTCATATTATATTCCAGTTAAAATTTGGCAGTATTGTTTGTTTGTTGTATCTAATATTTATTCTGCATTATAAAAATGAAAAATGCTTACTTTTAGAATATATATTTGTAATAAGTATAGAGTAGATATATACTTAAGCATTTGTCTCTAATTATAATTTTAGCTGTAATAAGTATCATGAAGTTGTGCCCTTACTAAAGTTGTCTAATTGCAAAATACAGTAGTGGCCTTGAAAATGGACATTACTATTATTTCACTGTGCACATTGATGGGTAAATACAGCCAAGATAATGGTTGCATTGCTTGCTATTTGTGTCATAATTATTATGACACAAATAGATTCTACTCAAATATTTTAAAGTATAACAACTAAAGTATAAAACTCTGTTCAAAACAAACTTGCCAATTCTGTGAAATTCTGTTTTATACAGTAGTATAACCAAAATATATTTATTTTTTTTTACAGATGATTAATAAAGAATTTGGAGGTTCAGTACAAAAAAAAGATTGTAGAGAAGATGGACAATTTACAATTCAAATAGAACAAAAATCTGCACTATTCAAGTAAGTGTTATAAAGTGTTTTGAAATAATTCTTCATGAATGACAAATATAAAAATTCAAAATATTATTTAAAATTATTTTATAGGGGGCTCGATAAAGAACAAACTGTGTTATTAACACATGGCGATAGTATTGATAAAGTTGCAGATGGTTTTAAAGTCACTGCTACTTCTGGAAATATTATTGCAGGTTAGTTTATTTTTAAAAAATCCCAATGGATGGATTTCAGAAAGGAAGTCTAAATCTTGTCTCTTTGGTCTAGAGCTGTGAATTTAAGTTAGATCAGCTTGGTCAAATCAATGCTAAAACTATTCCAAGAACACACATTTAAGTAAGTTTAGGCAAAGAACATCTGAATCAGTGGTATTCAAACTCTTCCATGGAAACCAAGGGTTTTACAAATATATTTATAAGAAATTTTTATTTTTACTAAAAATATTGAAAATAAGAACTTAAGAATTTTTATTATACAGAAAATAAATAGTAGTAGTTTTTTCACAAGTTCTTTAAGCAATAAATGTTTAAAAAAATATATTTTCACAAAAATAACACTATTGTGAAGGTTCCATAGACATTAAGTTTGAAGACCATTGATCTAGACCAGTGATTCTCAAACTTTTTCGATCCACCGCCCCTTTGTTCCATAAAGTTATACCCAACGCCCCCTAACCCATTTTCTCTTGTGTGAGAAAAGGATTGGAAATATTCTTAGGAAAACTTTTCTATGAATCTCACACTTTGTGCCCTTACTGTACATTGTTCTCATCATCTGGAAACCATTAAACGCAATGTTTCCTCTTATCAGCCCCAATTTTGCCTTTGGTCACCGTTCAATACCCTGCCTCTATCATAGATCTATTCATCGCGCCAGAAGGGGGCGTTATTGCTTACTTTGAGAAACGCTGAGCTAAAATAAAAGTCAATGTGTTAGAAATATTCAAGTTGTGACCTTCAATAAAAAATAAAAAATATATAAAATGTCAACATTTTATATATATTCCGTCGAATTTTTTATATAGAATTTGTCTGCTGTCGCCCCTCTATATTTCCTTAACGCCCCCAATTCTCTTTGAGCCTTCTACTGCCCCCCTGAAAGCCTCCAGCGCCCACAAGGGGGCGTTATCGCCCACTTTGAGAAACGCTGATCTAGACCTAAATGTTACAAAATTATTTTTCTGCTAACCTATGAATTGATAAGTTAATCAAATTTGTTCACTGCTGACATTAAAAAAGATGGCTACTTTGCAATTTTTTCAAAGAGGAGAAAACCGTTTTGGCAAGCATTACATGATTACAGCTGATTGAAGGTAAAGAGTGCAATTGTAAAATGTTAGAGTAAAACAAAAGCATAGGAAAAGTTCTCATTGAATGTTTGATAGTAATGCACAAATAGTAACTACATGTTACTTACAAGCATTTAAAATAATGAATATACTTTTTGAAAAGTATTTCATTTCTTACTCGGAACAGAGTTTAAATAATGACCTTCAATGTTACAGACTTTCTTTAAATAGTCTTTTTAGGGTGATAGAATTAGTTTTAGTTTTTCCCCCTCCCCTATAACATCTTCATCACACTCCTGAGGAGTTGCATCATAAAAAATCTTGCATTAAACATGGCCAGAAGGATCTCTACAAACTAGTGTATTTTCTGAACCTTCTGCTGATTGGAAGAACAAGTCCAAGAAATTTTTAAAATAGTTTTTATTTTTATTTTTATAGGAGTGAACCTCAGCCTTTTTCAACTTTACAGTTTGTACAAAAGCACTTCTAGATGTCAAAGCCAAAATATTTATACTAATAGGATTTTATGGAAATATAGTTTGACTTATTACAAGACTCTTGGGTTACATATTTGTATTATTTGTTTCTTAATTATCTGGTTTTGAGTTGTGTAGACAACTTTCTGCATACTTATATACTTAATAGATCCTGAAACCTCCATGGTGAGAAAACCTACAATATTTTATACAGGATAACTTCATAATATTTTTGGAAGGAAAGATATTAGGTCTATATCTTTTAACTAGAATCTTCCTACTCTTGAAATAACATTTCCTGAAATTTCCCTTTAATATCAGATTTTACAATGACATTCCAGAATCTTCTTGTCTCTAATATAATCCAAATAATCCATTTCTATTTAGAGGCAAATACAATTGATGTAGAAGATAGTGTTTGATGTCTGGATACTAGAAATTATAAGAGGAATCAGTGGGTTAATTAATATCACTGAATGCAACACACCATCCATTTTTATAGATAGAGGGCAGAATTTTTCTAATGAGAGAAAGATTTCATAAGCCAATGGGAATATATAAAGCATGTATTTTTGGGTCATTCTTAGAGGTCACATCTTAAATCCAGCAAGTAAAGAGGATAGTGGAAGATTGTTGTGTTATTTTTTGTCAAAAGGTGCTTGCATTTTGAAGGCTGTGATGCAGAAGCATTATCATAATAGAGCCAGGTTTGGTTGCACAGTTCCGGTCTTTTGTGACAAACGTCCGCATGCAATTGTTTTAAAATGTTGGGTAAAAATTTTATTTCATTGTCTGACTAGAAAAAACAATTTCACACTATATAAACTCCTTATAGTTGAAAAACAATCAACTTTCTCTTTTTCACTCCTGAATTGACCTGTTTTTTGAGGCTTGGAGATTGTGGACTTGCTCATGGCTTAGTTGCCTTAGGTTCTTGAAGCATTTCAAGGGTTTCTGTGGCAGATTTCCCAAGTTTAATGTAAAATTTAATGTTTGCTCTTTTTCTAGTTTTTCTCAAATCACAGCACAACACTAACATAATGTTACAAAATCATGTGTAGCAAACATTTTGAAAACTCAACATTTTAGCAGGTTGATGCTTATTTGTCCAAGACAGTTATCCTTGGTGGCAAAAAGACTGTACTTTGCTCAGTTGCCAAACAATGGCAACAGCTAGTTTCTTTTTAATCACACCACACAAATTTTAACTTTAAATATATTTCACATAATTAGTTATTTGTTTCCATATTATTTCACTTTACTGTTATTAATTTGATATGTGAGAATATAAATAGTTTGTAATGATTTTTAAAAAAAATATTGTATGATGATGCCAAACAAAGGATTAAATGTTGATTTTTCTATTCATGAAAAATTATTTTTTTTTAGCAATTGCTAATGAAAAATTACGAATATATGGAGTCCAGTTCCATCCAGAAGTTGATCTCACACCAAATGGAAAAGCAATGATGAGGAATTTTCTGTATGATGTCTGTGGCTTGAGTGGAACATACACAATGCAAAGTAGAGAGGCTGAATGTATTGAATATATCAGAAGAGTAGTAGGAAATTGCAAAGTCTTGGTGAGTATTGATCATAGTCTAATAATTAGCATTATTACTTTTCTTTAAACAAACAAAAAAAAATGTTTATTTTGTTTATGTGTTTAAAGAAAAGTAGTAATAAAATAAAAAGTTTATGAAAATTCACTTTCAGTAGTTTTTATGATATAGAAAAGAATGAAGTAATTATATATTAAGTTTCAAAATTTTTCAGATGTTCTGTTTAATTTAAAAGGTAACATTTTGAATATTTTTGTCTGTTAGATACTAACTTATTCTAATTTCAGTTTATTCAATATTAATATTCATAACAATATTTTTTTCTTTGTCTTTGTATTTTCAATCATATGGGAATCAACAACTTACATTTAACTGAAATATTTTTTTTTTATAGGAAATATTAATTTTAGCATTAATTTCTTGTCTTTATTTGTTTGTCAGAGAAATATAAATTAGTCAAAATGCATTTAAAGTGAAATAAAAATACACAATTTTTAGTTGTTTCTGTTACATATTAGTGTTTTATTTTCAATAAAGTTAACCATCACTTTAATGGACTTCAGATCTAACAGACAAAAAATGTCCAGTGGGAAAAATTAAAAATCTTTTTTTATTTGTGAACCGAGCATGCTAAGTGGTTGAATCATTGAGTTTAAACTACTCTGTACATTAATAATTATAGTAGAGCATTGAATATCCAAATACCGCTCAACAGAAACATCGGTTAACTGAAAGTATTCCAGCCAGCAAATTCAAATTTTTGCTAGCGCTGCAATATTTGACTGTCTTGGGCTACTCCAATATTATTTTTGTTGGTTGCATGTTTTAGCTGGCAGCACTGGTGCGACCATATTGTGTTGTTAAAAATCATTTCTTGATTTTGCACAAACAAAATAAATAACATAAAAACAAAAAAATTATATTTCGGAAGTTAATCTAGTATCAAAAACATTCCGATTCAGCACGACGATTATGCAGAATAGCATGTCCAATATCTCTGTTGTTGATTTTGCAATTTCAGCTCTTATCAGAATTCAAAGGACAGCATGTTGGAACATTTGTTATGTCACTCATAAATGATTTTTACTTTTGTATTGCTTTCTGCTGTAATAAAGCACAAATTGTCCCCCCTGGTGGTACATTTTTAAGTAAATTTTTTTCTTTGCCAAACAAAATTCCCTTGCTTTACAGATATTCATGCAAAATTTCAAGTCATTCTGACCAGTGGTTCTTATTTCAGACCATTGTAAAATTGGAACTTTAATTATAATCACTCTATATATTAAATCATTTAATTCATGTTTTATCAATTGTTCAATATCACTTATAAATGAGAAACCTTCCAATACTCAACAATTAGATATTTCATAGATGTCAAACTTTAGAAATACAATTGATTTATTTACAGTTTCAGATGATGATTTTTGTTTTTCAATAAAACAAGTTATTGTATGAAAAGTGTAAATACAGTGGGTGATCGGTTATGAACATAATCCATTCCAATATCATGTTTTCTATCCAAATTGTTCATTAACCGATTATCAATTTATCATAGATTTTTATGGGAAATTGATTAATTCATTCTGGAGACCACAGAAACTAAGTAAAAAATATATACTTTCTTACTATGCTTTTAGTTTTTTTATAACATATAAATAAACAATCTCTCTATTTTTTCACGAATGGCACATCTTTGTTTCTCAGATTGATTTTCATTACTCCTTTATCTGCTTGAGTCTTTTTGATTATATCTTTCTTAGCTAAAATTGTATCTACTGTAGACCTGTTGAAGTCATCTGCCCACTATTTACCTTGACTATTATCTCTTGCTTAGTTTCTATAGTGAACACAGTTCTTGACACTCCACTCTTTTTAGGCCCCATAATATTGCCAGTTTTTTAAATAAAAAGTTCATAAAAGCACCTAAAAAATCAGAAAACAGAAATTAATTAGTGCAAAAAAGAAAGGTTATTTACACAACTGTGAAAATCATTCCATAAACCATGCATAGATGCCATTAAAATATAGTTTTACAAATATTAAATGCAGCGTCGTTTCTTGTGTTTGTTTTCTCGGGTGTTTGTTGTTCAAACATAAAAATCTTTTACGAAAGTGTTCGTTGTCCGAACTGTTCATTAACCAATCACCCATTGTATATAATGTTATATTAGTTGGATTGTTAAATAAGAAATACTTGATTCACTGTACATTCATGTAATGTTGGTGAGAAATTTAGCACACACAAAAATCAGTCTTATTATTAACAAAATTGTTACATCACATTTTATATATTGATTTTTTTTTTTTTTGTCTTTTTGTCCATAAGATTATTGAAATTCTATATAATAGTATTTATAAAAATATTCATGATTTAGTCATCTAAATTTGAAAATATTGACACTTCAGATTTTAATATAAAGTTTGAAAACATTTTTACTAAATCAAACTAATTTCTTATATAATTTAATTTGTTTAGTTATTATTTTAATTGAAAGATTTACATATAATTATTTGAAAGAGCTGCAAATATATAATAAAATCCAAATATCAAGGAATACAAAAGAAAGTTATGAAATTTTATTAATTTAACAACATAATGTATTAAAATCAAAGCAGAATGCATATTTTGTTTAACATGGGATTTGATTAAAGCTACAAAATTGATTGTGACAGTCCCTTTACATATGCTGCAAGAGTTTTAATTAACATGTCGTTAAATTTGCCACACAAAAACATGCAAGCCCTGACAAGTGTTATCTGACCAAGAGAAAGTCAATTATGAGCATGATGATGTCATTTCTCCCACACAGTTGCACTCCCAGAGTCTGTGAGCCAGCCAGTTACTTCCAGGGCTGTGGAGTCGCGTAAAAATCTACCGACTCCGACTTTTCCTTACCATCCAACTCTGACTCTGGCTAAAACACCTAAACTCCACGACTCCAACTCCAACTCCACAGCCCTGGTTACTTCACTGCCAGCATTAAAAATGGGTTTATTACAAACTAAAATTGTTCTACTGTATTCTTTGTAAATTTTACAATCCATTGATCAAACATGCTTGTTTATCAAGGTTTATAGTCATTTTGCTTGTTATCATAGAATTTATGCTGATAGGAAAACAAAATAACATTGTTCAAACAGTTCTTGATAACTTTTTCTCTAGCAATAGTAACTAATGCAGGTGTAACCATTTATTAAACATTTATTTTGCATTCATTTTTTATTTTTTCTTAAAACAGTACAGTACTATGTAAGTAAATTTATCAACACAGTAATCAATCATGGACAAATTGCAATTTTTACTATTATTAAATCTGATTAACACAATTTTGATATATGCATTAACACTGAGGTATTAATTAATCAAGGAATACTTGTATCTTAATTCCTAATGCAAAGTGTGCTACTTCACTTTAGTTCCTTATGTTGGTTATCATATTTAAATATGTATTATTGTAATTGTAGGTAAGTAAAGTATCAGAAAAATTAATACATTTGGTTCATTAAAAGAAAATATTCCATTTGTATTTTTTATAGTCAAAAAATGCTGGATTCATTTATGAGCAATTTTCATTTTCTATTTACACTCATAATTTTCAATTTGCAAATTATTTATTAACTAGTAGTAATTTAAACATTTTAACATTATTTAAATAACTTTAATTTCTCATGCCATGATGAATTAAGGAATCATATTTATTTATTTATTTATTTATTAAAAATAGATGTTAGTGAGTGGAGGTGTTGATTCAACTGTATGTGCTGCCTTGTTACACAGAGCATTAAAAGAAGACCAAGTTATTGCTATTCACATAGATAATGGTTTTATGAGAAAAAATGAGAGTGAACAAGTTGAAATTTCTCTTGGAAATTTAAATTTGAAATTACAAGGTATAATGTTTTAGCTTATTCAAATATCAATAATTATTTTTCAATATAAATTTCAGTTTAATTTAAAGTTTGACAACAGAAGTAAATTTGCTTTATTTTAAATTAGTGTAAACAGTCAATGTTTTATTTGAGATAATTTTTGAAGTTACAATGAGAAGGTTTAAATCTTAAATAAGTGGTATTTCAATACTCTTAAAAAAACATTAAGTTAAATGTATTAAAACATCAATTTTTGAAAAAAAATGAACAAGTTAATATTTATAAGAAAACATTTGAAAACTACAAATAAAAGTTTAAAATATATAACTAATGTTTAATTAAATAAATTATGAAATAATTAAATTTAAAATAATAAAACTTAAAACACATTTTGTAAATTAGAACATTTTTGGATATTTCAATTAATTTCATTTTCATTTGTTGCTTCTAAACTTTTGTTAATGAAACATAATTTTTTTTTTAAATAATTTAATTAAAATGTGTTATTTTTTTTACTAGTTATTAATGCTGCACATCATTTTTATGATGGAACAACAACTGTTCCTATTGATCGCAAAGACCCTACAAGAAAACGAACAACTGAAAAACTATGTAAAACAATTAATCCTGAAGAAAAAAGAAAAATTATTGGTGACACATTTATGAAGGTATATCATACATTTAATTTTTAATTCAGAATTAAATAAAATGAAATTTAATACTGTACTTACTAAGTGTTTATTTGGAGCATTGTCTACATAAGCTTATGCAAGTTTTATTATACTCTTCAGCATAAGTAAGCACAATAACTAGTATTAAATTGATTTTAAAATAAATCCTTCTTAATATTTCTGTTTAACTTAGGACACTTTAAAGATATAAAAAAAATTATTATTTTTTAAATTTAAGTTAATTTAACTAAATATTATTATTATTTACTAACTAAAAGTTATTTATTTTGCCACTGTATGTAAAGTAGAAAATACAATAATATAAACTTTACATTTAGTTAATTCCTAAATCTGCTTAATTAAACTTTTTCTTTTACAGTTAAAAAATTATAACAGCTAAATGATAATGCTAGATTTAGGTTAGAACTAACTAGAATAATTAGCCAAGTTCTAGTTCAAAAGATAATCTGGCATCATCATAACATCCCAATATACTTGAAGTGCCTAAATACTTTGTATGTGATTATTACTTAGCGTTACCATTTATTTATAAATGTATAGTCAGTAAAACCAAAATTATTGGATATGTGTATTAAAAAAAAGGTTTAAAATAATGATATATATTCACAAATGTGATTTATATTTGCTATAATTTTTAATAACACTACAATGGGTGATCGGTTAATGAACAAATCAGACAATGAACATTCACAGAACAAACACAAGAAGAAGCGACATAAAATAATGAATATCGATTGGTCTTTCCTTGCCTTCAGGTAATAATTTGGAACTCTTCGGAGTGCGGAAGACATAGACATCAACACTCAACCCAGTATATACTGATCAGGTAGTATTCCTCCGAACTTTGAAACTCTCCCTTGTAATTCCAGCTGTTTATTTTTCTGACAGAAACAATTCTTTTATAGTATTCGCAAGACTGTTGGCGGGCACTCGTTAAGTTTTGCGTCAGATTTTATTTTGTAAAGATGAGAGTACAATACCAAAAGTAGAGAGTGGGCAGAAGATGTCTGATGATGTTGGGCAGTATTGTTTGAACAGGTCTACAGTAGGCTGCAGTTCAATCTTATCTAAGAAAGATACAGTATAATTGAGAAGACTCAGGCAGCTAAAGGAGTAACAAAAATCACATTTGAGAAATAAAGAACATTGAAGAGCTCATAATAGAACCAGAAACAGATTTGACGACAGAAGAACACCAAGAACTGTTGAATGAATAACACCAAGAAACTCTGCGAGACTTTTTCTTCTGAAAAGGAGGGTTAATGCTGATATCTGCTATTAAAGATCTTTTGAAGAAGTGGGAGGATGTCAGAACAACAGTCTTAGAATGACATCCAAACCAGGTTGAGGTTAATAGGCTTGGGGATCTCTACAATTACAATGCTATTCATTACTTCTGAAAAATCCTAAAGAAGAGAGAAAAGCAATCGACATTAGACAGATTCTTTAACCCCCACAAGCGAAAAAAACATGACTAATAAAAATGCAAGACTGTGTATATATGTATTTTTATTATTACATATAAATAAAAAAATATTCACTTTCTTACTATGTTTATTTTTTGAGGTCTCCAGAACGAATTAATCAAATTTCCATAAAAACCTATGGTAAATTGATAATCAGATAACGAACAATTCGAATAGCGAACAAATCTTGGAATGGATTATGTTCATTAACTGATCACCCACTGTATTTTAGAATAATAATTGTTCTAGAATCCAATTCCATTATGATAAATTATCATCATGTGTCAGTTTTGAAAATTGTCTCTAAATAAAAAAACTGCTAGTGAAGTAAAAGTATTTATTAGTTTTCATTCATAATGCAAGAAACGATATGCAAATGATATATATTCTTGGCATTACAGTTGACTCATCTTAAAACAAACACCGAAACAAAACAAAAGTGAATTCTTGCATTAAAGCAAATTATTTTCATTAACCCATTAAAATGCCATTGTCACAACATTAAATTTTATGCAGTAAAGAAAACAAAAATTTTACCAGAATTCATTAAAGCAAACTGTAAATTACCTTCACAATCCTCAAGAAATAACCCTATTTTCAATAGCAGTTGCTTTTTATACTTCTAGAAGTGACTAAAAAAATGGTACTGTAGTAAAAGTTTATTTTGAATAGAATAGATTTTTTCTCTTAGTAAGCAAAGACTGGTTCAACCTCCACTTGTAGAGCAATTCAAACATCTGGTTTTAACATGCCATTCTATTTTACTGAGAAATTTGGGATTAAAGTGTAAGGATGCACACCCCTTTAAATGGATGTGGCCCATGTAAGCATGTTAGTTTGCATACCAGGGAGTGCATATGATGTGAAGTTTGGCGGCTTTTTTACTATTTTGGTGCCAAAAATAGGAGTCACATTGGCTGTTTTTTTTCTGTGTGCACTGCCATTAATGTAACTCAAATTAATACATCATACTTTACACAATAGTGTCGGGATGTTTTTTGACAAAGTGGTGATTCTGTAAATGAAAGTGAGAATTGACAATGGTGATCAGCCAACTAAGCCACCTTTGAAGGATCAACAGATGTATTAGATACCATACACTGCTATCACTGCAGTTTGAAAAAAATAACGATAATTTCTACTTTTACAATCTTCAACAGAAAAAAAATCAATTTCTTATGGCTTTGTTTTGTTTAACCATTCTGATATACTGCTCCACACTTAAACATTAAATACCATATCCTCCTCATTTTGTTTGATTTGAAAATCATTTAGAACTACATACTAACCAAAGCCAAATGTTATTGGGTTAGAAATGGCTATATTTCTAAATAAATTATGCAAACAATTTGGCTCTACAGGGTGGCATTAGGCACCATCTCTTAATAACTTTAATTAATTAAAAATTATAATTATTAAAGTTATTAAGAGATGGCATCTAACGCCTCCCTCTAATGCCAAATTGTTTGCATAATTTATTTAGAAATATAGCCATGTCTAGCCCGATAGCATTCAGCTTTGGTTGGTGTCTGGCTTATGGTATATCGGGTTTAGTGATGTTGTTTGTTTATATCATTTAGAACATTAAGTTGTTTGTGTAAATAAATTTTATTTTATATAACTTTAAATTATAATGTTGAATTAATTGATTAAATAGAGATTTCAATTACCTATTAAACCTTAAATATAAGCTTTTCTTTTTGGAAATCGGGTGGTAGCAAGTGGAACAAATTGCAAAATGAAACCAATTATTCATTTATAAAGCAACTTCCAAGAAGACATTTTATAGCTCTGTAAATTAAGAGTTCTGCTATTTACAAAGTATTGAATTTTAAATTATTCATTGTTGACTACTAAATAAAAAGTATATTTTTTTATTTAATTAAATTTGTTTTTTAATTAAACAATTTTTGAAATCAAGTAAAACTTCAAAACAGAAAAATAGACTCTCTTGTTGATAATATAAAAAATACACTTACACATACTTGAGCACAAAAGAGACAGCTTCAGAGACAAAATAAAACTTAATTTAAAATAAAATACTGCAAAATTCTTTAGAATCAAAGAACAAAAAGAAATGAATAAAAATTTAACAACAAACAATTTATCATAGTTTTAATAAAAATCTAATCTCATCTAAATATATAAAATTACATGTCCTGAGTGACTGATTGATTCATCATTGCCCAGAGCAAACCGCTGAACCTAAGAGGTGAAATTTGCTATACAGGGTACATCATGAAAATGCACACTAAGAAGGGATTTTTTGAAATTTCCCTGCTGGGGGAGATGGAGAGGATTAAGGCTTAAAAAGTCTTATCCTCGAAAGGCAGTACCACAAATGTGGTTTCAAAGAGGTACTGGGGTAACTGAAACTCTATTTTTCAGTAAATATTTATACTTTAGGAATTTTCAGATAACATCATTTATGTTTCAAAAAAACAATAAACTCAGATTTATCATATCTTGGAATCCCATAATACTTGAAACTTGAATTTAGGTGCATTACCAGTTTGAAACAAACAAAAATCAGTAATTTTACCATTAAGATTCTCAACCATTAGTAACAACTAATGATTGACAATCTTAGTGAAGTACCGAGGGAGGGTTATTTCTATCAAATTGCAAAATTTGCATGGGCAAAGCAACAGGTAACAGCTAGTATTTTCATAAAGTAATTAGAAGTATAAGAATTTAGAATTCTTTAAAATTACAGTTAAAATTCTATAAAGATTTTTAAAAATTTAATGATTTTTTATTTATTTAGAAAATACCTGAGTATAGTTAATATTACTATACAATGATTTTAAAATAATTTTTTTAAAATATGCTTTAATTAAGTGGATTAAGATATTCTTTCCTACATGTTCAGGTAGCAAATGACATTATTGCTGATCTCCATTTAGTTCCAGAAGAAGTTTATTTAGGACAAGGTAAGTGGAATAAAACAATATAAAGAGCTAACTGTGGAAAATTGAATTAATGTGTATACTTTTTATATCTTAGGAACATTGCGTCCAGATTTAATTGAGAGTGCCTCATCATTAGCTAGTCATCGTGCTGATGCAATTAAGACACATCATAATGACACTGATTTAGTTAGATTATTAAGGGAACAGGGTAGAGTAGTAGAACCGCTAAGAGATTTTCACAAAGATGAAGTAAGAATGATGGGTCAAGAACTTGGATTACCAAGTGAATTAGTTCAAAGACATCCTTTTCCAGGTTTATATTTTTAAATATGTAATGATGTGTATAATGATTCTTTAATGAAATTATATAAATGATTTTAACAATTTTTTTACAGGTCCAGGTTTAGCTGTCAGAGTAATATGTTCTGAAGAACCATATATGGAAAAAGATTTTTCTGAAACTAGTGTCTTGGTGAAAGTTGTCATTGATTATGCAAATTCTGTGCAAAAGGTAACTTGTTTTTAATTGTAATGATTTTTAGAATAATTTTTAGCGTTGCTAATGAAACAATTTGCAAAAAATGGTTTAAGAATTTAGTTAATATCCATGTTATAATTAAAAAATAAAATAAAGTCCATTAACAGTGTATCATGTATTTTATTTTTTATAATGTATATTTATTTAGATATTTATATATCTTTTCAAACAAGAAATGTACATGAGAGAACCAATATAATATATGCAAGTAAATTTCAGATTGTGCTGTCCATCAGAAAGATCATCTTACTACTCATTTATCTCAGATCAAGTCCATTTATTTTACACACAACAATAATTCTGGATGGATACCATACAACATAGTCTTTCACTTTTCTTTTTTCCTCTTTCGATCAGTCAAGTTGCCTTTTATCCAACTTTGAGATTTGTTGGCCGTCCAATCTGGAGCTGGTCAGTAGCTTTCCTTTGGGTCCACCTCAGTTGGCACACCTGGCTCAATTTGGTCAGAATGACTCACACTAACTGACTCCCTCCAGAAAACAGATTCCTTCAAGTGAAAACCTAAATCTGTCTCCATTTGTTAGGCCTTGACAGCACAATTATTGGCATTTATTTTGGATAATTATTAGATTTAAAATCTTTAGTACTGTTCATTATTGGTGTCCAAATAATATGAAAAATGATATATTTCATACAAAGCAACAATAATATAATCTATGATATAATAAGTTTGCACTTCACACCGATGTATACTATTATTAGAACACTTACGTGCAGTGGTGTTACAGGAATGGAGTTTCGAATACGGAAATTTATTCGAGTTTTGGAGAAAGGTTTTATCTGCTAGCACTTTCAGTAGTGTAAAACTACCATCATCAGGCGGTACATAGAATTCGATAGTTTAAGCTTTCCGAACAATATTCCGGCAGTTTTTTTAAATTTCGATATCGAATACTTCGAACTATATTTCAGACGGTTCAGCTGATTATGGTTTTCGAATATTATTTAAAGGTTCTTACATCATAGCGCATAGAGAAATTATGATAAATAAATATTAAAGTGAGAAATGTCCGTAAAAGAGCATAGTTCATGCATGTATGCGCACCAAGGCAAAATAAGCATATGAGCAACAAAGGATGATTTTTTTCTTGGGTTGAGTTGTTTGAAAGCTGTTATCCAAATTTGTGGGAGCTCAAAAGTNCCACACACGCTACACAAAAGCCTGTGAACATTACAATTGAGTAGAAATACATACATCACACTACAGAAGGCCACTATATTGAATACATGCCATATTGTTAGGAAATTCCTTAATACTGACACTGACACACACATTTAATTTTAGTTTTGTTTTGGTTGCTATGCCTTGACTCTGGTCCGGCGTAGTACACAGCCACCGGTGTGTACCGAGTATATCCCACTAAACCCAACACAATAATAAAATCAGTTATATAATGTAAAAACTAAAATGGAAATTTTTAAAACACATACGAGCATCTGAAATAATCCTTGGTTAAAATTTTTTTTTATTAACACTATCTTTAATTACCATAGAAACACAATTTAACATCGTATCAAACTATTATTTCACAAACCATGATCTGCTTGGTACTTGCTACTGGAAGAAGAAAAAACTCATTCATGAAGATTTAGTTAAAATTTTTAAGTTACTAGAAATAATTATTTTTATAACAAATAGATTAATTATAGATTACTTTCTATAAAATATTCTTTTATACAACACATCAAATTTGTCATGAACATTAAAAAATATCATGTGTCGTAATTGGTATGTTGAGACAATTATTATGTTTTCAGTAAATACTGATTCTCAGCTGAGAGAGTGGGAATACTAGTAAGACAAATTACTAATTTAAAATATTTTAATTCTTCAATTTGTTTCAATTTCTGACAATTCCCATCTGTAACTCAAAAAGTATTAATAAAGAAAACTAACTGTTAGTTAATTCATGCTTAACTAAACTTATGTTTAATTCTGAATACCATAATTTTATCAGCTGAAATACACAATTTTCCACAATCAAGAAAAACTACAATTGCTTTCATTCTATAATTGAACTTTATTTTGATGATAATGACATATCAGATATTAATAATGACTTACGCCCAATTATTATCTGGAAAAAGTTTAATTCTAACACTTTCCACTGTAGTTACATTGAACCATATGCAAAACCTCATTCTGATATAAGGCTTGACCACTAGATAGATTACTGTGCCTAAATTTTTAGTGGAATGTTGTTGGTATAGTGCATTGTAAATTACTAATTTACTATATTCAACTTCTGAAGTTTTTGTAGCTAAATGTATACAGTACAAACAGAATTATTTATATTTTAGTTATAAGAAACAGTTATATTTGGGAAAATGAAAATTTTCTGGAGAAAAATTGCAATATTATTAAAATTCATAAATTTTATCTTTTTTTTTTTAGAAACATGCACTTATAAATAGGGTTCAGAGTGGTACATCTGAAGAAGAACGGGAATTTCTTATGGCTGTTTCTCAAAAGTACCAGTTAGTTTCTACATTATTGCCTATTAAAAGTGTGGGTGTTCAGGTATGTTACAATTTCATTCAATTTAATAAATATATAGAAATTTGATAAATATTTTGTGATTAAATACTTGGGTATTAAGCCAGGGATTGGTAACCTTTCAGGGGTGTGCCAAACCTAAGTTATAGTGTTATTTAAGGTGTCGACATAATATGTACATAACAAAATTGGTAGAATCATCAAAATTGATCTGGTTATATATTTTTGAAGTCCATTATAATTTTGAAGTTAAGTTATTAATTGAAATAGGTTCTTACATGTGGGGCACATGCACAACAAAGTGTGTAAACACATGTACTGTAATATAAATATACAAGCAAGAGATTGGTTTTTAATGTACCATGGTCTACACATTTAAATTAATAATTAAAATATAATTTTTAATACACATTACATTATTATTATTCAATCAAAGTGAATTAAAAATAGTGCCACATGCCATAGGTTTTAAAACTCCTGATTTTAAGCTATTGGTTCAGTCATAAAAAAAAGTTATTTTTTTCTAAGCATTATTTTCATGTTATGTAATACCAAGTCAGCTTTAATGCTATAAATTGCTATAAATTAGTTATAAATAAAAAAGTAATACTTCTTCAGTTATGGAAACAAACAATATGTATGGACCTTGAATAAGTTCTCGCTGTTTTTTAACAGATGGTGTTACCAGAATCACGTGTGTTTATTTTTAGATGGTGACGCATCTGTAAGGAAGTACAATGAGCGACCTTGAAATTCAGTATATGTCATTTCACCAAAGTGTAAACAACTTTTTTTCATTGTGTTAAACATGTCTAGTTTCGTGCCAAAAAAAAGAGTATTTGCGGGGAATTTTATTCAAAAAAAATCTGCAGCTGAAGCACACAGAATTCTTGTTGAGACTTACAGCGACCATGCTCTGTCGGAAACAACATGCAGAGATTGGTTTAGACACTTCAAAAATAATGATTTTGATGTTGAAGATAAAGAACGATCTGGCACACCAAAAATGTTTGAAGATGAGGAATTAGAGGCATTACTTCATGTAGACTCATGTCAGACGCTAGCTGAACTTGCAGAATCATTAGGAGTTGATCACACAACAGTTTCAAAACGTTTAAAAGGATTAGGAATGATTCAAAAGCAAGGACATTGGGTGCCGTACGAGTTGAAGCCGAGAGACGTCAAACGGCGTCTTTTCACATATGAACAGCTGCTTCAACGGCAGAAATGGAAAGGTTTTCTGCATCGTATCGTGACAGGCAACGAAAAATGGATACACTGTGATAACCCTAAGCGTAGAAAATCGTGGGGTAAGCCCGGCCATGCATCAACATCGTCAGCAAAGCGGAATATCCATGGTTCGAAGGTTTTGCTCTGCATTTGATGGGACCAGCTAGGTGTAGTTTATTACGAGCTGCTCAAACCAAATGAAACCATCACAGGAGATCGCTATCGACTACAATTGATGCGTTTGAGCCAAGCATTGAAGGAAAAATGGCCACTATATGAGCAGAGACACAACAAAGTGATTTTGCAACATGATAATGCTCGGCCACATGTTGCACAACCGGTGAAAACGTACTTGGAAACACTTAAATGGGGAGTCCTACCCCACCCGCCATATTCACCAGACATCGCCCCTTGCGATTATCACTTGTTCCGATTGATGTCACATGGCTTGGCTGAGCAGCACTTCCATTTTTATGAAGATGCCAAAAAATGGGTTGATTCTTGGATATCCTCAAAAGACGTGTCGTTTTTCCGACATGGAATTCAAATGCTGCCAGAATGATGGGAGAAAGTAGTGGCTAGCAATGGAGAATACTTTCAGTGATGTGTTTATTACGACTTTTTTTAAATAAAGTAATATATGTGTGTGTGTGTATTGTGGCAATGAAGCATTAAATGCCAAAGATTTTTTAACCAATGTGGGCATTATCAAGTACATAATTTTGAGTCAACTTCCATTATTGCATCAATTTTAGCATTTTCTAAATCAAAAAATTTTCTAAGGAGAACGTTAATCTTGACAAATTGCAGAGAAAGTTGGAATATCTGAATATGGTTAACAGCAGTTAAGTGGTTAAACTAATCTGCACTTACTGTATTAACACTAACTATGCACTCTGAACTATTGGAAACTATAAATCAAGAGTGTCATATTTACTCACATATAAGATGAAGTTTTTATTCATTTTTCATTGCTTCAAAAACCTAGGTTGTCCTATATGCATGAGTGAAGGATTCTTTGTTTTTGCAATAACTTTTGTGAACCATGTATTCACATTTTTTACCAGATACTCGCCCTTTGGTGTTTAAAAACAAAAGTATTTTATCTGAGTTGTTTCAATTATTCTTGCATAATGTCAAGAGTAATGATGAATTGCAATAGGAAAAGCAAAGCTTTTGAATTGAAATTCCAAAATCACACAAAAACTGATCAGTTTTAATCCATTCCCACATGAAAACAGATAATTATTTGGAAATTAGAATTCAGAGAAATTCATAAGTGTAATCGACGTAGAGTGGATTAACTGTTAAGAATTGGGGGAAAAAGGTTCCCGATTGTCCAACTTTAAAGAAAAATGTTTTAAAAATCAACAACATAATTTGTTCATGTGAAGTTTAAAATGCTAATAATTTTTGCGCAACAATGTGTGCATTTGTGATTAAACAAAATAAAAAAATTAGATTTATTAATACAATTATAATTTTATTTTGACTTTTAAAGTCACACCTCATCCTATATGTGAGTTACTTATATGCGAGTAAATATGGTATATTGAATGCAAGGAAACTTTTTTACTAGTAATTCAACATTGTAAATAAGGTTCTCTTCTTATTACTTAATGATATGTTTTAATGTATTAAAATAAATGTGCAATATTCCACATTTGCATTCTAAAATTTATATAATTCAAAATTAACTGATGCTCTAGGATTTTCTTTTGTTTTGGATTTGAGGATTTGCCAATTGAAAACAAATGAAAAATTTTGGTCAACTTAAAGTATCCTCATTTGATGCTGTCTAGAGGGATATGTAGTACTCCAAACCAAACCAAATTTAGGACTTGCAGAACAGATTGTTGGGGGGGAAGAATTGTTCTAGAATTTGCCACTATGAAATTTCTGGCACTGAATGAGTACACAGTATGTATAAGGGTCAATTTCTAGATATAAAACCTAAACTGTTTATGGCATATGAAATAATATTTTATTACGGTGGATCAACAAAAATGATTCACAGTAGTAATAAAATGTTTAATGATAATCACCACCATGAAACCATGCTGATGATTAAACAGTTTTACAAGAAAGGTTCAAGTGCACTTAAAATTTTATATTAGCAAAACCCTTTGGTTATAGCAAAAAATTGCTTTCAGTGAACCCAGACTATAACACTACTGACTTTAAATTTCCTCAGTGATACAACACCGTTTTTCATATCATTCACTTGGAATCTGCCAAGTCCAGACACAACCATCAAAATCAGTACAGTATAGTACCTCAATTAATCACTCCACAATACTCTCTTCCACCAATCTACTGTCCAATGTTGCCATTCTTCGCACTGTGTCAAATGTTGGCTAGTGTAAAAAAAACCATTGATTTGTGGACTAGCATGACCATGAAGTCCCTAGCAATGGTTGCTAAAGGAGACTCTACTAAGTTTGACAACATATTTGGTTAACCTAGCCAGTCAAGTTTCAGTTTTTAGATCTACCAGGTCATTGGCAGGTGTGATTTTTACAATGATAATATTACTTGCAACCTCATTAACAGAATGAATGTGTAAACTACATGTAGTGATGAATTGCAGCTTTTGTTGCCTTTACGCAATATACGTGCAAATCATTACTGATCAAGAGTAGAAATAAGGGATGTCCAAACACTTTTCGTAAAATGGCATATGATGCAAAATTTTATTAAGTTTTTGCTGAAATAGTTGCTCATTAATTTTACCTAATAGATCTTACACCCTTTGTCAGAAAATTGCATTGTCCTGGAACTTTTCAGAAAAGGGTGTAGTAAATCAATGAATAGTATAGTTTCATTAGAGGGAGAAAAAAGGACATTGTAAGAAAGCTGATAAGTGTGTTTCTGTATATAAAGTAATATAAAATATAAAATTTTGTTGTTGTGATGATTTATCAATTGTGTTATCATTGTTATAGGGTGATCAGAGATCCTATAGTTATGTGGTTGGTTTATCTAGCCCAGAAGAACCTACAGATTGGAGAGATTTGATGATTCTAGCCAAGATAATTCCTCGTATCTGTCATAATATAAATAGGTAAAAGATGATTTTTTTTCACAGATTAATGTTAAATATCACAATTAAAAATTTATTAATAAAATTTTTATTTTGTAGGGTATGCTATATATTTGGAGATCCAGTTACATTTCCTGTACAGGATATAACTCCGACATTCCTTACTAGCAATGTTCTTAGTACTTTGCGTCAAGCAGATTATGTAGCACACAAAGTATTGAAAACAAGTAATCACATAAACACATTATCACAGATGCCTATTATTATGATTCCGATTCATTTTGATAGGGATGTTGTATCACGGCAGCCATCTTGTCAGCGATCCATTGTGATACGCACATTTATTACCCAAGATTTTATGACTGGGATTCCAGCCACTCCAAATGTACATTTACCAATCGAGGTAATTAAATGTGTTGAGTTTATAGTGGTAATTTTAACTGTGTGATAATTAAAAGTTTGGAATTTGATAACAAAAAATTTTCTTTAAAATTTTACAAATCTATATTTTAGTAAACAACACTATTATTAAGTGAGATTCTTGTGTTTTTTTATATTTCAAACTTTTAATTATGGATCATTGTATACAAATTTATAATTTAATGAAAGTTAATTACCAAATTAGTTTTAAATGCTTTTATTTAACTTTGCATTGTCCTCAATTTCTTGCAATCAAGATAGGTATGTCTCAATTTCTAGATTTAAAATTTGATGACAATGCATTTTAATGTTTTAGGGACGACTCTACCCTAAAACTAGGTAAACATGGGGTAAATGTAGAATTTAATCATTGTGTGTGAGCACTACAGTGGGGTGGAACCACCCCATACATTACTAAACTTTAAAAATGACCAATAACTATAATTCAGACAAAAGCCCTTTCTTAATTGGCCTCAAGAAAAGGTGCAAACCACCATCATAAACTTTTTCAGGAGAAAACATTCAAATTGTTAATGGATTTAAAAGAAAATACAAAGAAATATAAGAATTGCCCCAAAAATTCAGAGATACGTAGGAAAAGCTAATTATTACCACCTGATAGAGAGTATGGGTAAAATACTATATAGCAGGACAGCAATCCTGGTTACACAGAATATAAATGCCTGGCAGAAAGATGTTTAGAGAAAAAAAAAACAGTTCCACTTCTTACAGAATTTGTTAATCCCCATTATAAAACCTAATAACCAAATGTAAAATTTAATTGCACGTTTATATATATATATATGTGTGTGTGTGTGTAAATGTGCTGTAGCTACAGGACACCCTCACCATTCTTGTCTCAAAAAATGTACTTTGAATAATTAAAAAACACTTTTTATTGTCATGTCATTATATAAATAGAGTAACTATTGTTTTGCCTTAAAGAGTCATATTTCTTTAAAGAAACTATAAAAAAAACTTTCTGCCCATGGACACTAAGTGTTTTACCAAGCCCTCAAATATCCAGGTTGGAACATACCTGAAAAATTCCTTGAGTGTTTGATTTGTCTCCCATATACCCAGAACAGCAGGCCATCAGAGAAACTTAGAAATCTTAAAAAAAAAAATATTTTGTACATAAGAGAATTTTCCATGTGCTCTAATACTTTTATTTTAAAAAAATTTATCCAGAAAAGCAGCTCACATTAAAATAAGAAACTGGAATAATTTGGATAATATCTAATTGCTTAAATCTACATAATTTATCATACTAATCCTTGTTTGTGCATCTATCTAGGAATGGTGTGGAATGAGCTTTCCTACCATTTCATTGGATTAACGGACATAATTTGTGTTTAAAAAATAATATACAATAAAGTTTAACAGTAATAAAAGAACTTTTTTTAACCATAAAGACCTACATAAAAACAAAGGACAGAATACTTGATTATCGCAAAAACTTTCATTTCTTTTCAACTAAATATTTTTTTCTCTTTCAGGTTATTAAAAAAATGGTGGTAGAAATCCAAGGAGTTCCGGGAATTTCACGAGTACTATACGACCTCACACCTAAACCGCCGGGAACAACCGAATGGGAATAAAATGGACACACGCCGCATTATATATATATATAAACATATATATAATTTGGTAATTTTTTGAAAATTGGCCCACGAATTTGGAAGAAAATTCCGACTTTAAATAAAATCAGAACTATCGATAGAAATTTTGGGAAATAAGAGCTATCTTTCTTCCAGATTGTTAATTTTTTGTGAACAAATACCCGTTACTCGAAACGGTAAAAAAAAAAAAACTAATTCAAAATGGTCGAAGAAGTATATCGGAAAAGACGGAACTTCGTGTACAATGGTGCGGTATTATAAATAAGTCGGTGTCTAGTATTAAATAATTGTTGTTGTGTGAAAGAAGTTGAGACAATAGAAACAACACAAAATGTTGGACTTGATCGAAATTCTAATCGTGTCATGGTATCCATAGTTTATACGAACTAAAATACTGTTTATTAAAAAAAAAGCGTGCACAAAGAGAAAAATAAACCGTGCTTCAAAAAGTAACTCTCGCATATATACACGTTTTTACGACGATAATCGACAACGACAGATCGTTTAATAATTTCTTAAAGGGGGTGTTTATCTTGTTTCTAATGTTACTCGGTATGTTGAGTTGTTCGCCATCTAATGGCTATATTTAGATAAAATTTGTAAATTTGATTGATATGTATTATTACAGCTATCAAATGCCAATAAGGGAATATGGTCGCATATAAAAAAACCCGTTTAATAATAAGCAGGATTAAAATTTTAGAAAATATTCTTATCATTTGGCATTTATGTAACACGAGTTTTGTATCACACGGTATTGAATGTCCGAACTGTTGCGTGAAGAAGACTTGAATGCAGCGATTGTAAAAAGAAAAAAAACCAAAAAGTAGGAAAACAAAAAGGAATCGACTGTGACTGATGCGAATCATTCTTCCAACGTGTAAAACGACTGCCCAATAAATTTGTTAAAATTTGAGTCTCTGGTTAAAAGTTTTCTAATTGAGCTAACACCAACCATCGATATATGATCGAATCCTTCGTCTATATTTTCAGGAAATCAGAATAATAACGAAAAGACGACGAAGCGTGTGTGTGCTTCGTGGCGTGTAAGTACTGTACATTTAGTAATTTGTTAAGCCACTGCTATTGGCAACTTTATTAAGTAGGAATTTTAGTAGTTCCTTGAGCCATATTTTGTTTAAGGCTTATTAACTATAAATATTTTTGACTACGTTTTCTTACTCTTAATGAAAACGTCAAAAATATTTTAAAATGAACACAAATTGTAAGCAAAAAACAGTAATCGATTTAAAGTCTAAAATCGTGCAAGTGACAGTTAATAGAAATAAACAACATTTACGAATAAATAATGTTCAAAATCGAATTAAAATAGTATTTATAAGCAGTCCTTTAAAAAATACAAAAGCAATATCTGAGTTAAAAACGAGAAAACTTCATATAAAAATAATTTCGAATGATTGCGCTCGAAATGGCAGAAATATTTATTACACCAGTATCATAGCATTGGAGTTATTGGCAGTGCAAGGACCAGTATATCTATCGACTGATTTTAATCTATTGTTAGACCAATGGCGGATTTCCCATTAGGCCCGGGCCTAAGGCGCAAGAGTCTGGAGGCCACAAAATTTCAAAAATAATCAGTTTCAGTGCAAATTAAAGCTTTTTATGACAAAATAAGACTTGTCAGCAGAATAATAATATATATTTTGCGTGAACAGTGAGAGTACGGTACTAATGACGGGTTTTCAATAGCAGTACCCTTTCGATATTTAAAAATTTGTAAAAATACAAATACTACTGCAGAATTAATTACAGTAGAACCTCGATTATCCGCCCTAATTGGGGACTGGGGTTGGTCGGATAACCGAAAAGTATGAAAAAATCCATTATTAGTGTAGTATATTATTATATCCCATGTAATTAGTATATCGCTATTAACCTATTTTGCGTTGAAGTTTCATCGATGTTAAGCCTAACAAAAATTTTTTTAAAATAATCGTCGCTATTGTAGCGCCACATCACTAGCGGACATTTGAAATTTGCCGACTAGGACGGTCGGTTGATCGGGGGCGGATAATCGAGGTTCTACTGTATTCGAAACAAAAATGGCACTATTTCGGGATGCTTACATATTGTGATTCTAGGGTACCTTATTTCTAAATCCGTCACTGGTGAACACTATGGAAAAGATCATACTGTATTAATTTAACCAATTAAAGTTCTTATATTTTCTTCTAAAACACATTCGGTCTTCATAGCAAGAAGCCAGTCTATGAGAATAATCATTGATGGATCATTAGTCAACATTGTGGACTTCACAAATCTTTTTCTGCACAACCCCATCTAATTTGCCAGAGTAATTAATTAATTTGTACTGGAAGGTACCAATCGCATAATTTTTTCGATTGCAAAGATACTATACACGCTTATCCGCAAAGATGGTTAATTTGTAAAGCCTTAATTGACAAATTATAAACATTGGCTAAAAATTGTTAAAAGTAATTTGAAAAATCGCGCTTGAACAGAAACGAACAGGCAAAATGAAACCTATTTTATAATAAAACTATATGTGTTAACTGTCATTGACGGGAGACACTTATTTCATGAAATAGAGATTTTACGGTCGCATATCACGTTATAAAATGCACATTTGTTCCTCCCCTTCGCCATGTTTGTGGTCTAGCTTTTGCTTCCTGAGCTTGCAAGTGGTCTGTTATTTGACTGGTTGGTAGCGCTAATTTTTCAATTTATACTTAATAGCACTACAGTATTTTTATATCATTGACAAAGTTAAAAAAGATGATTTCTGGCAGGTTATTCTCGCAGTCTGACAGGACGAGATGCTGCATTAAGTCGGGGTGTCGATCCATAGAAAGCATCTTCGTTGTAAATAAAGGATTGTGGTCTAAAGTAGAATTTAACGACATCATAAATTATTTGGTTTTGGAGACAAATTACACTTTCTCAAATGAAAGTTATGGGTCTCTAAAGATTTATAAGTTATCTTACAAGTGGCTGTTTCTCCTGATTACGTACTCATAACGCTCCTGATATGCAGTAGATTTGGCCACTCATACCCCATGTATATGTTGACTCGTCATAAAATGAAAAAGATTTTACGCCAAAGGAAAATCTTCCTTAATAATATATTATTAAAAATAACTTACCATTATGATATGTTATATATAAATAATAAATAAGAATTTATCAGGAATAACTTGAAGGTTACTATGTAATGATTATTTGTTAATAATTTTAAAAAATCATTGTAAAAGGGAACATTTAAATAAATGTTAACGTTGCTCACCAAAATAACCTAACTTAGCTATTTGTAAAATAAACCAATAATTTCCATATACACGCGCTTTTTATGTAAATTAGACCGGAAAGACAATTGGTTCAAAATTCATTTCTAATCATCTGCTAAGTGTTATCTTTGCTTAACACTTTAATATTAACTCTACTGTATATTTATTACAAGCGGAGACTAAGAAAACAAATTGCAAGGTGAAAAATAAAGGTAGAACACAATCACTATCTATTCAAACTAAAATCTGCGGTTGTTAAAATTATTTAAGTTCGTTTTGTCGCTATTAACAAAGGAATTTATGCAACCGGCTCGTACATACTTTATGATAATCGTCATTTAATCATTTATTGATAAATAGTAATCAAATGTTATTGCTTACCTGAAACGAACTGTTTCTGACAAACTCTCGTATTGATATTTTTCAGGTTAATTCTCCAGAGCCATGTAAATTGCCTTCGTCATGGAAGCTCCTCAGGTTCGGTTCCTTGATGACAAATAATGCCAAGAATTTTTAAAAATGACGTACGTTCGTTCGTTCTTGAGTGAACTAGTATTACACAACAATTCACTATAGTGATATTCGCGACGAATAAATAACACAAAGAACTCCAACTAAAGCGCGCGTAAACACAAAATGTAAACAAACCACAAAAATGGCGCCGGACAATTCCGCATGCTCATGACGTCATTCGTGATGTCGACTTCTAAACTACTATTATATTTACTTACCTAGAGTATATATGCAGAGAATTGTTTGTTACAGATTCATAATATTCTTATTAAAGATGTGGAATATTTTCTAGATAAACTTATTGAATAACCTCCCGATATACATTTCGTGATTTATTATCAGGTGCACAAATGAACGGAGATTTGCAGCTACTAACTAACACGTGAGCACGCAACATAGTTGGCCATGTGAAAAGAAACTGCATCCGAGGTCAAGTCCTGCAACTCTCGGGCCTTGGTCTTGAGACTTGTTAATGGTCATTGCAAAGCATGGACCGACTGGAAATTGTAGAATTTAAATTCGAACAGGGAGTTCGTCGGGTTAATGGTATGCTATTAAATGATATATCTGTTCTTATTTCAATTCTTGAAGTTAAAGTATTTACAAAAATATATTAACATTTTCGAGTCTATCATTAAATCCTTTTACACAAACCACAGAAGACACAGTTACATTGGTTAGAAGATAAAACTNTTACCTAGAGTATATATGCAGAGAATTGTTTGTTACAGATTCATAATATTCTTATTAAAGATGTGGAATATTTTCTAGATAAACTTATTGAATAACCTCCCGATATACATTTCGTGATTTATTATCAGGTGCACAAATGAACGGAGATTTGCAGCTACTAACTAACACGTGAGCACGCAACATAGTTGGCCATGTGAAAAGAAACTGCATCCGAGGTCAAGTCCTGCAACTCTCGGGCCTTGGTCTTGAGACTTGTTAATGGTCATTGCAAAGCATGGACCGACTGGAAATTGTAGAATTTAAATTCGAACAGGGAGTTCGTCGGGTTAATGGTATGCTATTAAATGATATATCTGTTCTTATTTCAATTCTTGAAGTTAAAGTATTTACAAAAATATATTAACATTTTCGAGTCTATCATTAAATCCTTTTACACAAACCACAGAAGACACAGTTACATTGGTTAGAAGATAAAACTTCTTTAAAAGACAAATAATAAAAGGTAAAAATTCACAATTAAAAATGATCAAATGCCAGCCTTTTATTGTAGTCTAACTTCAAGAATTGAAATATTGAAGATTGTCCTGAGTCAACATTGAACATTGTGAACTTATGCAAATAAAAATGATAGACTCGTAACTACCACTAGAGGGATGAACCAGTTATAAAATTTGGAAAAGGACTTGATAGTTGGTGAGAAGATTCTTATGTTTTTAATGTTAAAAACATCAGATCCTACAATAAAAGCCTGGCGTTTGATCATTTTTAATTGTGAATTTTTACCTTTTATTATTTGTCTTTTAAAGAAGTTTTATCTTCTAACCAATGTAACTGTATCTTCTGTGGTTTGTGCAAAAGGATTTAATGATAGACTCGAAAATGTTAATATATTTTTGTAAATAGTCTAACTTCAAGAATTGAAATATTGAAGAATGTCCTGAGTCAACATTGAACATCTGTTCTTAATTTTGAATGTTGGCATGAAATTTCTTTTAAGTACTTCAGTGGCACCAAAACTTGTCATTTGGAAAGCACTATTGTAAGCCCTAATGTTCTTTAAGAAATGTTTAGTGTCAAGATGAGTCCTATTTAATAGTGATAGAAGAGGATCCAGTTTAACTTTGTCAGAAGAGCAGCAAATCCCCTATTTATTCTTCCACTTCAAAGCACTGCAGAACCCACATACTTTATCAATAGGCCCAATATTAACAGATGATGAATAGTCTAAAAGTGTCATAAATGGAGGCACTTCGGAGCTTTTTGCGCCAAGGAATCATTTATACAGATTTTTTGGTTCTGCAGACTTCTATCTTTGAATTCCCAACTGTTTCTAGAAAATGTTCACTAATTTCATTTAAAGAACTTAAGTATTCATATTTAAACAAACTTCTTACAAATCCAAGTGTTCATCTTGGTGTTTTGAAACAAACAGCACACAGTAAATTAGATGGATGTCAAAGCAATCTTTATTTACATTTCCTTGCTAGAGGACATTTGCCAATCTCGAGGCTTACACAACCAACCATGCGAAATGGTATTGGAAATGTTTCCTTTTACGAAATAAACCATATTTATAACTTATTTATCATAATCTTCGATATTTTACATTAATTTAGAATGTCATCCATACGAACGTACGCGACACGATTTCCCGAAATTTGCTATGTCCAGCAAGAAATCACTTTGCAACATATCAAGTTTGAAGTTACGCTGGAATTTTCTCATGGTTCATAATACCGCATGATCAATATACAAGTTTTCTTTACAGAATTTTCGATTTGGAATGTTAACTTCCTTTACAGAACCATTTACCTAATTAAAATTTATATTTTGTTTAATCATTCCGCTTAACTTTAAACTTGATAAGCCGAATGTCTCACCTAAAATTATGATATACTCATACATTTTCTTAAATTACATTTTGACATTATGGTCTGATATCAGAGAAGCATGCATTAAGTCTTTATACTGTGATCCACGATCGTTAGTTTCCCATTCACACCTCGTTCAAAAATCACAATGAATAAATGTTCTTCATTTTTACATATGAAAGATATGACCTGAAATAAAATTACAATATCGCGTGCACGAGTCTTAATGAATGCTTCCCGTTTCTACAATTACTAATTATCCTTAAGGCATAAAAGCTTTGCATTAAGATACCAAAATTTATTTTATTTTATTTTATTTTTTCTCTTTAACTTTCCTTATTTCTTTTCTTCATTTTGATAAAATATTTTGACGTGGGCCAATCCAAAACATACTCGATTGGGCCTTGATGATAATACTGCAAAGCTTTTAATCATTTATCTAGTATATTTATATATATGTGTATATATACATTTATACACACACAACTATATATAAATTATGATACAGGATGCTTCCAGTCTGAAACCTAACATGAACTTGCTTATCCCTTACAATATTTGTTGATTTAAAAATTAATTTCAGAGATTGAAAACCAAGATCCTGACAGTTTGTATGAATTAGTTATTGCCAAATTCTTAATGACAATACGAAATTTTTTTATGGAACAAAAGCATCCATTTTACAAATTGTGTGTACTGATGTTAACATCTGAATTACTTGCTGATGTTGATTTAACAATTTTAATGATAAACAGTCTACTTATGTTGTGTATAATCTAAATTTTAAGTTGTTTCAGACTTTATAATCATCCTGTATACAAGTACATATATGTATACTTCCATACATACATATATAAAGCATAAACAAACAGCGGATCAAATTATTATGCCAAAATTTACATTTAAATCACGTTCAACGAACGATATTTGAAATGACTAGCTCGAAGCATGTCATACTTCCAAATAACTGGATTTTGATCCACTGTTTGAGAGATTTAATTTCCCTCATTTTGAAAATGGAATGACAACAATGAATTCGTGTAACTTATCAGAAAAAATGAGGAAAATTATCTAATAATAAAAATTTATATTAATTTTGCCTACAATAAACTTCAAATTATTTGAAATTATGTCAGTATCCAACAAAATTATTTCTTTTTTTTTTTTTACTAAATAACATTAAGAAAATAATACCCTTCCATATATGACTATGCTTGAAAAACAAAATAATAATATAACATTTCAATCTGTATACTGACAACACACTGACAACAATGAAATTGTTTTCACTTACTAATTCATATAAAACCACAAAGACAAATACATGTAAAGTGGCAATTTCTGCTAAGTTGTATTTCAGACAAATGAATAATGATCATTTTTAAAAGTGCCTGTTCATCAATGTAATTTAATAATTTGATCACAGAAAACAAAAATGAAAATGGATTATAAAAGAGTAAACAGATGAATTTTCAAGATTTTCTGTAGAGATTTTTTTTAAATATTTTCTCCATTAACATTTACTTTTTTGTGGTTCTCCTACGAAATGAATTACTTTTCCGTTCCATTTTACCAGAACCGATTGAAAAAAGTGTGCCTCCTTGTCCTGGAGTTGGTGATGGTGTCGGTTGAGTTCCAAAAGCCGGCAAGGTTCCTTTAAAGAAAACATTCTTATGAATCAATTAAAATTTACTTTTATATTGTCATTAATGATAAAATTGTTACTATTTTAATTTCAGTTTAATAGAGAATACAGAGCATTTATTCAGGAAAGTAGTAACTTAACTACCTACTATATATAATAAATCTACATGTAATGATTTGTATAATATAAATTTTAAAATTTTTCTTGTAATATAAAAATTTTGTTATAATTAATCAATACTTTTCTTATTTCTACTGTTAATTGAAATTATTTATATAAGCTAATTTAAAAATAAAATAAAAATAATAATAATAATTTTTACCGAAATTATATTTTGTTGTTGGCGTGAAATTAAAGTTAAATCCACTTGTGTTACTACCAAATTGAAAAGGAGTTGAGCCACTCATGTTGGAATTCCCTGAAGTAAAAGTTGACACGGGACTACCAAATGTACCACCTGAGGCACTGAAAGTATTATTAGTAGCTCCAAATAAAGGTTGCATTTGTCCAGATAACATGAAGGCACTCTGTGATGTATTACCAGAGCCAAAAGTACTTTGGTTTGAAGCAAATTTTGGGATCTGTGACTGAGAAGGTGGAGTCACAATTGCAGTTGTATTTGGATTTCCAAAAGCAGTTTGGCTTTGACCAAAAACTGGAGTTTGAGTATTCATTCCAAAAGGGTTTACATTTGAACTAAATGTATTACCAGTTGAAAAGAGATTAACTGTTTTATTTGGTGAATCAATTGCAGTTTGTGACAATGTTAAATTATTGTTTATTGATTGATTCGATGTTGCTGCCATGTTTTGAATACTTGCATTAGAAGGAACTAATGGTGCAGGAGAACCAAATGCTGTTCCAAAAACATTTGTGTTACCTGTTGTTGAAACTGGAGCAGGTAATTGATTTATGTTACTTGTAAGAAATGAATTTTCATTATTTGTAGCTCCAAAACTGAAAGGTTTTATCGCATTTCCTGAAGTAAAAGATGATTGAGTTACTGCATTCATTAATGGAATTGTTGTTGTTACCAGAGTGTTTGGTTGAGTTATAAAATTAGTGGTAATACAAAACGATGAATAATCTTGATTACTTGAAGGTAAAACTGAAGACGATGTCGTAACAAAAGAAGACAGTCCAGGTGATGACGATGTAGTTAGTGAGAACTGAAAACCTGCTGTAGAAGCCATAGTAGTATTAGATGTTGCAGTTGATGGTGTTCGACTTTCACTTGAAAACTGAAAATTTATAGGTTGCAAACTGAAGTTTAAGCCACCTGAAGTACTTGGTGTCATTGTTGTTGCTGATGTACTGGAAGTTGTTAGAGAAATAGAAGTATTCAAGCCAGAGAATATTGTGGCAGTTGAAGTTTGGTTAGGTACAGTATTTGTATTTTTAACAGATGTATTATTAGTTGATGAAAAAGATACTGGATTACTGGTATCAAAATTTGGCTTGATACCTGGGGAAGATATAGGAACACTAATGCTAGCTGTTGTAATAGTAGATGATGATAATGAAACTTGCTGAGGTGATTCTGATGAACTTGTAACTGTGTCTGTTTTAGCAGATAGTTCTTTATCGGATTTTTTAACAACAGGAGTAGGAAATGAAAATAAGGATGAACCAGCTGAAGATGTAGTATCTGACTGTATTAATGACACTGGTAATTGAGTAACTTCAGGACTGGTAACAATAGAAGCAGTAGATTTTCCAAATGTTAATGATGGCACAGTGGAAATAGGCATGATATTTGCCATTGTTGTTTCTGTTACCACTGTAGATGATGTAACTGTAGGTACACTGGAACTGCTAGTAACAGAAATCACAGAACTGAACATAGTGTTTGCAATAGAAAATGAAGTTGTAGTGATAGCAGTATTAGTTGCAATTTCTGTTGGTTCATCCTTCTTTGTACCTGTCAATAGCAAAGGTATATTATTATTTATATAAAATAAAATAACTGACATATTTTTTGAATACAGTAAGGTCTTGTTTGATGTAAGACTAATAAACAAAGATTTGTTTTCACTGATGTTAAATGGTAGTTCAATGTTTCCCAAAGTGAGTAGCACTATCCTCTAGAGTCAGCAGAATTATCTAAATGGGCAAGTGGGAAACATCTAATACAAAATGTAATGTTCTTACATTGTATAAGCATTGATTGAATAGTAGGCAAACAGTAATTTTAGATGATTTAGGAAATGCATTCTTAAGTCATACTTAACAGAATATGTTTTTAATGCAGTTAATTAACTTCTCTCCATACAAAAAAAAAATCAACTGTAAATTACTGAATATGACAATTTTAAACTTACTAAGTGACTTTTCCAGGCATTGAAAAAGATATTGAGCCATCCCTCACATTAATAATTTTTATTAATAGTAAAGTAGGTATTAAATTTATTACAGGTTGCTAAATAATTATGAACCTTTACATAGAGGGTGCAATTACTGAAATCACTGAATTCATCAGTTTTGTTAATCATCATCTTTAGTAATTCATCAAATTGATATTCTGGAAAAAATATTTTGTGGGATAAGGTAAAGATCCAAAGCCACTGAATCTAAGGGTACGTACGTAAAGTTGAACAAGTTAAATGAGAATGACAATCATTATTCTTACTTTCATTAGTAATTTTCACCAATTTGTATACAACAAAATAGCTGTTTCTAAAATCAAAATTATGAATGTTGCTAGTACAATCTTATACGAAATATTTTCCTTAGATTGCTTCAGCTGAATGGTCATTTGTATCATTTCACCTTTTAATCTACAATTTAAACACTAAAGTAATTTTAGAAACATTAATATCACTGGGTGCTATTTTATTCATGAAGTAAACTAACTCCTTCCTTTGTGAATTTTGTTAGAGTTTCATTTGAAACATCTTCAACATCGAGCATGTGTAATGAATGAAATGTGTTACTAACGAGTCAGTCATAAAGTTCAAAGTACTTTATGACTGACTTGTTAGTAACACATTTAACTTGTTCAACTTTACAAATGTACCCTAAGTCAGCAAACTGTTTCTCTAGCTTCTAACATTTTGAACACAGAACTACTAAATGCTACTCACAGTGGTGAATATCCTAGGATTTGCATGTATTTTTCTCAAGTAGTATATATACATGATAAGGTAAAAATTTTACTTTATATATTCAATAATATCAGGCTGAAATGTTATTCATTATAGTATAAAATTTACAAATGTTTTAAATACATTTTAACAATTTTCTATTAATTGTAAATAATTCTATAAGTATGTAGGCAATCATCTTAGACAATTAAGATGGACATGTGCTCTACTCCAATAGCCTCAGATGATTACCTAGATAATATACAGAATTACATAGAATTTTATATTATATGGCATCTGCCAGCACACAACCCCTGCATAAAACAAGACCATACTTAATATATATTCCACACACATATACACACCTAGCATATAATGGAATCTGCTTATTGTAATCATTTTGGAACTCAGTGATGCATATACTAATGATGATAACTTACTAATAATATTTAATAGAATAATTAAATAAGACTACAGATAATGAAAATTTTGATTTTGTTCACTGAAACATGTTAAAACATATAACTCAAGAGTTTATTATTAATTAATAGTAGTCAACTGAAATATAACTGACATAAGAAATACTAGCAATTTAAATTACTACTCTACAGGAAAATTTGATTAAAATGATAAACATTTAATGTTTAAAGCACTGGTTAAGACTAATAACTATTGCACATTGTTAATATAGTCTGATAGCATGAAAAGACAGCTTAAAAAATGCCTATTTGCTAAAATGATCACTATAATCAAGCTTTGCTTATAATAAACAAAGTTTGATGTTAAGTGCATTAACATATATATTTTGGGCTTGTGAGTTCTGGTAATAATAAACAACTGATAACATCATCAGTGATTACAATAAGCAGATGCTACTGTTTAATATACAGTATAAATTTTGCACAGATTTTTGATATTGCTTTAATAACATTAATAATTATATTCTGCAAGTATTATTAATATATAAATTATCAGAGCCAAGACATTTCCAGAAAATTAATAATAATAAAAATAAATAAAATTTTTATTGAGCTGGTAATGTAATATTGTAGTAAATCAATAAATACAAGGTCTGATCGAAAAGTATCCGCCCTTATTTTTTCTTTGCAAGTATTTGCAATTTGGGGAGGAGACTATGTCGTCTTTAACCTTGGACTCTACTGCATGCGTGTGTGAATTTTGGTGAGCCTGTCCTATCCTGCAGTCACTGTCAGACAACCATGATAGTTTCATATATACACTGTTATCATTGGATTAGTGATTTGGTAGAACATGACAGATCCTGATTTCAAAAAAATTATAACCAGAGATGAGACTTGGGTCTACAGGTATGTCTCTGAGACAGGCACAATCATTCCAGTGGAAAATGCTATGGCCTCCACAGTCAAAGAAAATACAGCAATCACACAGCAGAGTGAAGGTCATGTTGACTGTTTTTTTTTATCACCATGGCACAGTTTATCATTGATATGCCCCTCATGAAAAAACTGTGACAAAAAAATACTGCCTGACTGTTTTACTTCACCTATGAGATGCTGTTAGGAGCAAGAGACCGTAGCTATGACAGTCTGACAATTAGTTCATTCATCACAACAATACTCTGGCTGACAGATCATATCTCATACAGACATTCCTTACAAAACAGGGTAATGCACAGGTTCAGCAGCCTCCTTACTCCCCAGACATGGCTTTGGCCGACTTATGGCTCTTTCCCAAACTCAAGATGCCACTGAAAAGAAAGATTTCAGGATGCAGAGGCAATCAAGACTAACACAACAAAACACCTGACAGAGATCCCAATAAATGACTTTGAAAAATGCTTCCAACAATGGAAACATCACTAGAATAAGTGTGTAAACTCAGAAGGGACCTATTTTGAAGATGACTATCATTTGAACCAATAGAAACAGGAGTTTTTTTTTCTGACCTCATGTCAGATACTTTTTGATCATACCTTGTATATTTTATATATATACAACAGATTAATATGTGTGCGTATATATATATATATATATATATGCATACATATACACACACATACATATTAATCTGTTTGTTAAATTGATAATGGGAGATTATAAAAGTCACATAACTATTTAGGAAATAAAACACTACATTTCTGTCAAGCTAAAATTATAAAAAAAGAACATTTCAAAGATGTTTAAAGTCTCTCTTCAGCATATATTATAGATTGTAGTTGCATCTCATCTTGTTAATTGATTTCAAGTAAAAGTTGTACACCAGGTGGCATTGTGTCTGCTCCATTATTTTACAGCCATGTATAAGCAGTTTAATAAATTGTCAGCATGTGCATGATATCTTAGTTCAGTATAACCTACAATACCTACTGAGGAGAGACTTCTCAAATACAGTGTATAATTAGCTATTGGTTTTAGTGAATTCCCAACAAGTTATTTATACATTGTTTATTAATTTAATATGTTTAGAAGTGAGTTTAGTACAAAATGCTTAAATGATGTAACATTGCCCAGTCAGCTTGTAGAAATTCAAGCCTTAACTCCAAGCTAATTCTTTTATCTAAATGCTTCTAAATTACCAACAAATAACAGTAAAACTAAGAGGTGATTCTACCTATTTTTATTCACAGATTTAATGACTGATTTCTATAAAAGTATAAAACAAAAAAAAAATAAAGTCTGACAGTTTGACTGTAGCTTTATTAAATAATAATAACACGAATAATTATTCTAACAATAACAAAAACAAACTGCTAAAGATCAGATTTCCAAAACGCATTTAATTAAAAACATTTTCAACCTCGATTTAGGTCATCATTAGCTAATAGAATAACTTCATCAGTATCAACTTTCATAAATGATTATTCATTAAACTTTTTAATAAAAAATTCATAAATTTAGTCACAGAAATGCTGAAAGCAATTTCTTATATTTTTCAAGTAAAATTAAATTATACAAAACTAAATTGATTTCCATGAATTTCATACTTACTTCATTATATGAAATTTTGAAACATTTTTTTTTATTTAGAAAACGAAAATTACCTTCTAAACTAGAAGTTCATTTTTTTAATTTTTAACTCAACTCAAAACATTTTTTTTTTGTTGTATGCAGTTTCCAGCAAACTTTAATTAATTTTTTTCTATTTGTGAAAATTTCTACGTTATTTAAAGGTAATTTTTATTATAGGCCTATAGGCCTTACACAGCATTATTAATATGATTTTGGAGGTTACAGAACTTTNAATTTAAATAAATAATAAACATAGAAAATTTACAATCTTTATTCTTGCAGGCTTCTTTTACTCCAGATAACAACCATTCCAACCGCTTTTCTTCAATCTTTTTATCTTTATTATGTTCTTCTAATGTAGGAAGATGAGCAGGTATAGGTGCAGTCTAGAAATCAACATTATCCATATTGTGAAAAATAAGATATTAAAATATATTTTTACAGCCCAATCAATACTTACTTGTATATGAGTTCCAAGAGAGGTATATATAGGAAGATTTCTTCGATAAGATATGCCCTTTTTTAATGTTGTTGGAATGGTCATTGAAGAATTGCTTTCAGATATTTTCTAAATCATGATGAAATACAATATAGAAAAAAATTTGAAATGTAATGAAATATTGAACATTTTATTTTTCAAACTTAAATTTCACAACTATATAATAAACAGTTTTCTATGTTAAACAGAAATGTTGTTTATTTTATACCAGGGGTGCTGAAAAATTAACAACTTTACCCAGACTCAAGAGGGCAAAAGCCACACTACAAGAATAATAGAGAAAAGTCATTGCTATATCTCAAGTACAGTAAGAGTCCATTACAGCTGTTAGTTTGAATTACTTTGACAAATTGAATTTATAATGGCTGCACTAAGACCAGAATTCTGCAACATTGAGGAGTGTATGGTGACAAAGCTTTTGTTCTTGTAGGAAAAAAGGAATCTAAGAGATTTACTCTGAGTACTGATAACTCTAAAGCAGGACTGCCCTACCTTCACGATAATGAAGAAATAGGTGACCCATTTCTAAAGTGGCCATTTTGGGGTAACAGGTGAATCACACTGTGGATGATCCATTTCAGCAATGACAGATGAAAATGTGAATGAAATTCATGATCAAGGACACACAGTATTTCAGTCAAGATGATTGCTGAAATCTTGCAATTTCTCACAAAAAGTTTTCCACTTAATGTATGACATTCTCAACATGCATTCTTGAAAGCTCTCTCTGGAATGAATTCCAAAACTTCTCAATGCAGATAAGAGAACACATGATTGCCTCTGAAGCCATTTTAGCATAGTGCCATACTGATGCTGAGGATTTTGTGGCCCAATTAATGATGTGAGATCCAAATAGCCCCCGGGTCTAAATTAATAATTTAAAAATAATGTTAAAGTTTTGTCATAAAATATTCTTTCGTTTGGGATGGGAAAATAACATTTTCTAGCGTGGGAAAACAGCTAGGAGAGTCACTTCCTTTGACGGAAGTATGAGCATCCTCTGTTTTTCCCTTATCTGCTAAAAATCTCGCTTAGATGGGAACTGTTTACCCCTCATTTCATCCCCTTCCCATCCATCCACGTGGGAAAATCTGAATACGATGATTGGTCACAAATGGGAAGATATAGGCGAAGTTCAGCCGAATTCGAGGAGTTCGTCAGGAGATCTCATAGTAGAAAGAAGTCTCCATATTGTCTCCCTAAGGCTATCATCCTTAGTTAGGGAGTTCGTCAGAAAATCTCATAGAGGAGAGACGTCTCCCATATTGGCTCCACATCACCCTTAAAAGTTCATTGTCAGATCCGAAAGTGACCAGACGCCATTCAATTGCTCTCTAAGGCCATCGCCCTTAAGAGTTCGTCCGTAGATCGGAGAGTGAAAGGACTCCACACAGATATGCCAGCAGACCAATGCTTCGTCATCCCTTAACAAGTTACCCCTAAGTTATCAATGGAATACCTTCACGAATGAGAAGACGACACTGCCAAGTAAACAGGTCATATGTTTAAGACTAAATTGTGAGCTCTCTCTCTCGTAGATGTATAGGTTGAGAATACATTTCTCTCTCAACTCAGTTATAGACTAAGAATAGATTTCTTCCTATCGCGATTGATTTGATTATTCGTTCTTTGATTGACCGTTTTGAATTATTAGATTATTTCTTATTCTGTATCAGTATTATTTAATTGTTTATTAAATTTTCTATATATAATGTTAAGAGATGTCTCTGTATTATTATTTCCTGAATCAGATCAACGGCATAAATTACACGCGTGTTTATCCGCGTTGCGAGAAGTAGATAAACTGGGGTCGGGAATCCTGACATAAGGAAGAAGGTGAATTCGCCATCACCAACTTCCGCTTTAAATTCTAACTTAACTATAAGACCCTCCGCCACTTGATTTCCTATTAACTAGGAAAGCCATTCTTGTAGACGACAGAGACTATTCTCACGGAATAAGCCAGTAAGCGGCGTGAACTTAGTTCTACGTCCTTGGCTACTCTCACAATGACTATAGCTGAAATATAGCTTCATTACCAATTCCTGAGACAAAGGAACAATCAAAAGAATGGCATCATAGATGATCTTCCAAAACAGGTGTTCTGTATCTAGAAAAAAAAAATCATTGTTTCCATATTCTGGGATAAAGACAGTGTCATCCAAGCTTTAACATCGTGGATTTTGCTGAAATTTTAATACATTTTAGTATACTTAATACACTAACATAGTATATCTTCACACTAATATGAAGTAATGTAACTTGGGCCAATGACTAGTATTTTATGAGAAATCACTGTTTAAACTTTTTAAATCACTGTTTAATGTGCATTATACATCAACTTCTATAAATAAATTACAATGAATAGATGTAGCCAAGTGAGTAAGGCACCATCTTGAAAAGTTCAACATTTAAGATTTAATCCTGCCAATTTCCAACATTTTTTACTTTCCTGGGTGTTATATATCTGAGGGAAAGTAATGACAATCAGTCAAAAAATGATCTTCCAGATTTTTACATTTTTGGATGTGGGGACCTTGAAACATCAAGAAATGCAAAAAACATTCAGAGGTTTTTTCTGTTTGTATGGATGTTAGTGTGTGTGGGAGGGGGCACAATTTTGTTCACCCTCTTTGAAGCTTAATAACTTCTGTGCTTTTTATTGAAAATTTCTCAAATTTTGCAGGGAGTGTGTTTACTAGGGGAATTTATGCTATTAAATTTTGGTGATTAAAGGTCAAAGGGTGGGGAGATAAAGGAGGTCATGTGTACCTACAGTAGAATAAGACTTAATGATGATTTTACTTGTTAGTAGCATTTACAACTTTTTATAACACCTATCCCTAACTCAAAATTAAGCTTTTTGCCATTTTATAATAGTTAAATTTATAAAAATAGTTTTAATAAAATATTGTAACAGATGGCGCCACCAAAGGTTGCAGGGACAGTTAAACAACTCGTTACTATAATTCTTTAATACCAGTTTTGGATTCGTGGGCACAGTTAATGAAATATGGCAAAGTTTCATCAAACTGGATCGAATATATTTTTAGAAAAAAACACAATTCTCTCTGCTATGTAAAAACGGAGAGAGAGGTTCCAGCAAGTAAACATGTCTTCGTATAAAAATTTGCGCCATAGAAAATGTAATCAGTAAACTGAAAATTTGTCATTTAACCTTAAATGAACGGGAAATTCATCTTTTGTCTTCCTTTATCTGCAGTTAGAACAGGTCACAAAGATTTAAAAAAAGACATCCCACTTACGTCTGTTCTTACATAAACTGACTTACGTTGTCTTGACCCGATAAAATGACTAAATTAATCTGCTATCTTCTATTTGTAATCTAAAGATCACCCGAACTATAAACAAAGCATTAAAGATTATTCAAATTTATACCGGTAAAAGGTGTGTAGTATTTATATACTTGGAAATGTAACCAGTTGATTTTTCGAGTCAATGTCTATGCTGCCATACAGGTCTATTGTAGTGAAGTAGCCGTATCTCTCGCCGTTCCTTTATTTTAACTTCTAAATTTACGATACCAAAAAGGATGAAAAATAGAAAAATGGCATCACGACTTTCTATAAACCGTGTTTATTATGCTCCATAACACTGACACAACAAAACAACTTGGCTTGTTATTTGAAGAGCAACCATTCAACTGATTTTTTTCATCTATTGTCTTCGAAGAATATATTTCAATTTTTCCCAAAACCATTTCTCTCCCCACTTTAAATAAGTTTTGGTTTTCAGCAAACGACGAAGATCCTCCTCCAGCTCGTTCGAATTCTCCAATTCATCCACCAAAACCAACACTAGATGATGAATTTGATCTTGCATCATTCTGTTGTACGCTACACGAAATTCAACAGTAAACCACATGCTGTCCAGAAAGTTTCGAGACAACAATATCACCGTNAATATTGTTTTAGACGTGGGAAAAATAGATGACAGATGACACTTCCTTTCCACAGAAGAGAACATCCGCTGTTTTTCCCTTATCCGTTAAAAATCTCGCTCAGATGGGAAATGGTTACCCCTCATTCATCCCCCTCTCATCCGTTCTCACGAAAGAGTTACTGGACAATAATTGGACGAAATTTGGAAATAAAAGGAGAGATTAGTCAGAATTCGAGGAGTTCAGCGAGAGTTCTTCGACAGATCCGAAGCATACAAACTCCACATACGTTTCCCTCCTGATGGCCAACGCCCTATACGAGTCCGATAGACTAAGTCCCGAGTCTACAATTAGAAGAAGTGATATTTTATATTTTGTGCACGAATTGATCTCCCACACGAAAGTAATATGAACCCTATCTACAAGGTGTCCTCTACCTATACAGAAACGAAGACGACAACTACAGGTCGTATGTTTAGAATCATTTTGTGAGATCTCTCTCTCGAACGCGCATTAGCCTAGGTTAAGTCGTAACCTTTAGCTTGTCTTGTAATCGTTGTATTTGGTTATTTGTATTCGTTTGTTTGAGATTTATTAAATTATACTTATGTTTATTATACAAAAATGTCTCTTAATTGGGTGTCCGAATCAGATCGCATACGCGTGTTAATCCGCATATAATAAGATCGATTAACTGGTGTCAAGGAATCCTGACGAACATCTGAACTTCTCGTTCAGATCATTTTAAAATACGCTCTCCTATGTAAACTTTTAGGATCGGATCTTTCGATCTGAAACCTGGAGAACTAGTTTTACCAACTGGGTGCCGAATAAGTGGTACAAACGATCCCCCTCAGATTAGTACCCCCCAGCTGATCTCACACAGTGCATTTGATAAAAGCATCAACTTTTCAACAATATGCTTTATTTAACATTGTCAGAGAAAAACAAATGTCATTGACATTTAAAAATGCTGATTGATCATCTATCAATTTCAATGCATACCATGCATATTAGAGCATTTGACTGAATGCTGATGCAATAAACTTATGCAAAAGAACCAAGCCTATTTATTGAAATTCACTTATAGAACAATTATGCTAAATAAAATATAGTCAGTTTTCCCTTAAAAAAAATTTTTTTGATAAAGCTGCAAACTTTCCACAACACCTGGTAATTCAATGCATTAACAAATTTTAACATCTCAACAGAATTCATTTCATTATTCGTTGCTTTCATTTATTTATTTGAATCCTTCTCCTTTTTCTTACTGAACATTTTACAGATTGTCATTGGTATCTACAACATTTAAATCAATTAAAGCATATTAGCTATTATTCCCAATTTAATTAGAAATTCCATCTCATTCCATTAACATCTACTTTTTTTTTATAAGAAGTTGCTTTGTCAAAAAGGGAAGGCAAACATGCATAATATTAACTGATAAGAAGTCTTTTATTAATATTTACTAATTTAATAATTTTAAAAAGACTAATTACTTATAGCTCTTCATTACAAAATTTATTAATTGTTAAATTCACTCTATATAATTTTAAGTTCAATATTTCAGAATTAAAATACAAAGTCATTTTTAGAAAATGTATGATTTTGTATTGTATTTACCTCCACATTCTCATTAGCCTTTTCTTCTGAAATTTGGGATTTATTTCCTTCTTCAACCTTCTGAATAACTTCTCCAGATGAATTTTGATTACTACTAAAAAGAAAAATGTTAGTAATTCAATTTCTGTCTAAAAAATTATTATTATTCTGTTGGTGGAATGTACCCAGCTCAGCTTAGACTAGTGATATGCCAGACTATGGTCACGACATTAGCTGTAAGAAAACAACTTATTTTTTTTTTTTGTGTGCTGTTCATGTATATATGTAACTGTATTACTTAACACATATTACATAGTTTCCTATGTGGTATGTGCTAATTATAGCTGCTTTCTATAATATTATACATATATATGCTGTTGTAAAGCTATAATGTTTCCAGACTATTCTGTAATTTATATGGTGTGACACCTGTGCATAAAATAACTATAGACACAAAATGTATCCTATCCATTCTTCAAAGATTTTTCATTTCATGGATGAGTTTTTCTAAGCATGGATGAACATATTTTCTAACTTTTCCAGTACATTTATTTTGCATATTGTGTGTATTTGGAACAGCTATGTTTATAATATATATAATTTTGTTTCTCAATGAATATGATGTCTGATCTGTTGAAATGGATTTTTCTATGTCTATGATCTTATGGCTCAATCATAGTATATTTTGTGCATGTGGTTTTCTATGACCATCTGAGGTGTGTATTTGTATATGGTTCCTGGATTTGTAATAGTTTGTGTATGTGTACAAGCTTTTGATATGTTATGTTTACTATTTGGTTATATTGATGTAAATAGTTTGTATGTGCTAAAAGCTTGCAAAACTCAAAGCAAGTAACATTTCCTACAAGTATTGTCTGTAAACATATCTTTTAAAATATGCTTTCCATAATTTTCTTTTTATATACAACCCGGTGTTGTATGGCAATCATAATCCTTCCACCTCTCCAAAGAAACATCCACAATCAGAAGTTTGATGCAATTCTGTCTACATGATCCTGGTTGATATCATTAGGAAGTCTATTGTGGAATTTATTCTGAGTACAAGACTGCTTGATAGTATCTGTGTCTTTTGTGTACTGTTTTTTGTGTACATTTAATGGTGTATTATTTTTATCTGCAAAAGTTACAGCTCTGCGTAATTGTGATGATTCTTGTTTTCTGTAGAAAAACTCTCACATTGTGTGTTTGTAGTGCAAGTTTAAAATATTAGTGAGGCCTTATCCTCCTCCTTTTCGACAAAGAATTAGCTTTTCTACAAATGACTTGTGTTGGTGTTTGTTTTGTTTTGTTAATGTTCATATTTTCCTTTTGTAAGAAACCAAGTCCGAGCATTATTTTTAGTTACTTTTATTTTTGCTTATTATTCTATTTTGTTTGGGGCTTATGTTTTGCTAAGATGAAGGTTTCCTCACCATTCACCTTAGAAACTTAAAAATAGAAGAGAAACCAACTCACCAATGAGGGAAAGTGCCGTAGAAAAAACTCACACACACTTGCATTCCCGAGCGGAAAAAAGTAAGTCCGCACCGAGAAAAAGGGGGGAGAAGACCCCACAAGCACAACTTAAATTCGCTAAACCTTAAAAGAATAAAACATCGCGAAAATTGTAAAAAAGAATAATGTAAAAGGTTAGCGAGTATTGTCGAAAAAATAGGCTGACAGACAAATAGAAAAAGTTTATTGTTAGCAAATAAGTATGTAAATGAGGAGAGTGATCGCAGTCAGAATTCTAACGTCACCTCACAGTATAAAGACCGAACCTCAAGTGAAGACAAACAAGGTGAACTCCAGTTAGCAACAAGCTTGGTGAGCTTCATAGCAGTAAACGAGAGAGGTGTCCGATAGGATAAAAATAGTTCCAAGGTGATTTTGAAGTTATTCGATTTGTGAATCGACGAATAGAGAAAGTCTTGAAAGTTGAGGAAGTAGGTTCCTAGTATATTGAGGTGACGATTAAAATCTTTAATTCATAAGAATTATTGTATATAAGTTAAGTCTTTGAATTTTGTCGAATTCCAAAGGGAAATAGATTTAAGTTAGAAACTAGACTGATTTGAGTTTTGTCGGGTTGATTCTTATTGATTTTCAATGAATAAATTGTTATTTGATTTTACTAAATTTTGTAAATAGTTATTACTAGAAATTAATTAAATATTTGATTTTGTTATTGACAAACTTTTTAATTTCGGTGCACGCTAAAAGTCTAGGCCTGACACACTAATGCGAATCCGCGTAAAGTACCCGTTAGGGAATGGCTATTTCCGGTACACAGTTGTGTTGATAATCGTTGGAATAGTCGGAAAAATAGTACAGTACTTTACACTTTCAAGTTGTTCCAATTTTTTAGAGTTGTCTCTCCAAATGAATATGTGAATACTGGGATGACATGTATTAATTTATAGCTTTAAATATATGTCTTGCATTAAACTGTATTAGTACTATGTTAATACTGCATTTAATTTATTGTTATATTCTTTAATTATAATTGTATTGAATCATGATAGGTAATAGTAAGCAATCAATTATTTTCTTCTTACTAAAAAAAAAATAATAATAATAATATCCAAAAAAATCTAGAAAAAGTATTAAATATTTTTTCTAAATAAATAGGGAAAAAATGCTCACTTGTCAGTCACTTTAATTATCTTATTTGGTGTAACAGGATCTAGAGAAGAACCTCTTCGTTTAGCAGACTGATTAATGGAACTGTTTAATTGCTGTAAATACAAATAAACATGTTAATGTTATTAATGATGATATTTAATTCATTATATCAATTATGAATTAAATAATACAGTTGATCCCATTTAATTGGGCCACTGGTTAATTGAAGCAGCCACTTTATTGAGCCAAATCTCTAAGAATGGAAACCAAACTAATAAATTAATATGTAATTTAAACACAACCTTTCAACAGTGGACTAGTCAGGCATGGTTCTACCCCAGGTAGTGGAGAATAAACTTGGGAAATTTTAAAAGTATTTTTCCACACGTTACTTCTCATTACTGTTTCGGAAAAAGATTTTGTAAACAGTTATGTCTAGTAAAGAAAAGTCTTTTTTAATTGTTACATAATTAATTTTCTATGTGAATGGTTTTTCGTGGTAGTTATAGGCTAGTTTTTGGTGATACCCCTTAAAATTATTTACCACTGCCACACAATCGCCCTTGACAACTATAGTTGTTGCTCACTGCTGAGTGGTTAATTAGGATGGTAGCAGAAAAGGAATTTAGCAATTTTTGATATCTTTTAGTGATCTTCCAAAAATATGTCAACACTACATACACTAATGCTGTATAGGCCTAATAGTTGGTGGAGACAAAGCAATTTTGTCATTCGCATGGACAGTTTGGTTTTTCCAGAGGGGTCAGCATAGTGGGACCCATAACACACTGGGATCCTGTCGAGGCAAATCTGAATGCGAGCTACTGACCCTGCTCTGGATTGGACAGAGCAAAGAGACAAAGACCCCCGACAACTTTTCAGTCTCTTGACCAAGTTAGAAGACATCTAGAGTTCCCTTGGAAAGTTGTGTGCACGATTATGTCTAGACTCAGACAGCAGCCATCTGATCTTTCAGACCAGCATCTGGAGGTGGTGGATTCTATGGACACTCCCACTGAAGTGGCCCATCTCCAAATAAAAGAAACTGTACGCAAAGAAAGGCCTTAAAGTGACTTTTGGCAAATCCAGACATGTTCGAACTAAAAAGAGAGAATGGAAAGATCGTTTGATCTGTTCCTGATCGAACGATCTTTCCCTTGTGTACATCACTACTAATATTTGGCAACACTAGCGTGATGCAAATTAGTTATCTATCATCGTGAGTCTGGCAAATTTATAGTAAAATATTTTACGTATTTTGGTTTAATAAAGCATTAAAATAGGTGCCTAATTATTATTTTTTTCAATCTACTTATAATTTATTTTAGAATTTATTATTAGTTCATTTAATTGGGACAGCCGTTTAATTGGGCCAAAATGGATTAGTCCCAACTTATCCCAATTAAGCAGAATCAACTGTAATAATGTATTAATTTTTAATTTTAAATAAAAATGTGTTTTAAAAACAATAAAAACATTTATAACTTTAACGTTCATTAATATTAAACAAAAATTAAATTTATAAATGTTTTTAATATTTATAAAATCTTAGTAGCTTAATCACAGTTCAATTCAGTAGTTCTGAAATGGTGTGCCTCAGAAGATGGCTAAATGTGTCAAATACTATATTATGAAAGTATATTGTAAATATGAGAACAAACAAATTTGTACAAACATTTATCACATCTATGAACAACTAATACTTAGGTTAGGCCTATAGGGTAGGAGTTATTCTAGTACATAGATATTTATAATTTACAATACATAGGGTCTGAGAAAGATCTACACTATTATAAAATTTCATTAAAAAACAAAGGGGTCTGTAGAAATGTGGTTTGTGATAAAAGAAAAATTCAAAAAGTCTTCTCATTACAAAAATTAATACAAAAGCCGAAGTTGTTTTGAATACATTCAGTAAACCTCAACATGTGCATCTTTAGTTGCATGAAGAATGTCCAATCAATAACTGATTTCTTGCCAGGTGTTGTTTAGTATTTCCCATGTAACTCAGGAGATTACAAGGGTTATCCTTTCTTTTAAAACAGTAAAGTTAGAAACAGGTGTTTGGGACACAATGTCTTTCCATAATCCTACAAAAAAAAAAAAATCTAATGGGGTTATGTTGGGCAATAAGGGGACCAGGGTGTTGGTTCCCCATGGTCAATCCATCATCTGAGAAACATTTTATCAAGCAAATTACATAGTCACCATAAAACTTTTTCAGTTAATTTTTATTAATTTTTCTTTATTGCAAACCACATTTCAATAGATGACTTTGTTTTTTAAATGAAATTTTATTATAATGTAGACATTTCTTGGACATCCTGTATTTTTAATTTTGTATTCAAAATGAACTAGAAAAGTTTTTTTACATTTTACAGTGTGCTTCAAGCCAAAAAAAATTTGAGAATTGCTGGTTTAATCTCTAGATTAAGGATAAGCATAGATTATAGATGCTTCTATTAAAATAATTCTTTTTCTTCTCTTTATACACTGAGAATTTAGTTGTGTTGTCTGCATTAAAGGTCTTTTTTTTACACTGTCGCAAATATTTTAAATTATTGACTCTGTATTTAAATATAAGATTTATTATTCTGTTTATCTTATAATGGTAACTTATAGAATTGAAGATAACTGATTATAATGAGCAATAACTAAACTGAGAAACAACTGATTTTCAGAAATATTCCTCTAGTACATTTACAACTGTTTCCATTTTCCAAGCAACAATGAGTTAATCTTTCAATAAAGTATTTGATAATATTTATGCTCTTACAACATATTTCTTGCTTTCTATTAAAAGCTATCTAAATCTACATATCCATTTTCTTTCTGTTTACATCTAATATAATAAATCTGCATCAGCTTTATTGACTCTTGATGCCTCACAGAACAATCATTAAAAAAATAAACCATTTGCCTAGTTTTAAAAGTTTTATTACAGTAGAGCGTCGATTTTCCGAATCAATTGGGGACTGGGGTTGTCCGGATAACTGATATTTCGGATAACTGATTTACGTATGAAAAAATAGTTTAACGTATCCGATGTCGAAATTTTTATCCTTTGCGTGTCGCTTCGCGTTGAATTTTCGTCGATGTTAAGCCTAATAAAGACTATTGTAGCGTTAAAAATTATTTTTTTATTTTGTACAAACAAAACGAATATATTGAAAAATATAAAAATAATAAAAAATTATACTTCAGATGTTAATTTAGTATCAAAAACGTAAAATATTTGAGTAGCCCAAGACATAGCCAAAGATTGAAGCGCCACAGCACTGGCGAAAATTTAAATTTTCCGACTGGAATTCTTTCGGATGAATGACGTTTCGGATGATTGACTTTCGGATAATCAACGCTCTACTGTACTTTACTCCACACTATTTTAAATAACAGAATTTCATTCAGTCTTACCATCAATTATTTTAAATTATTATTCGTAACTAATTATAATGAATATAGTTTAAAAAATTATTATAAAATGCAATACATATATAAGACTACCATGAATCAAAGTACAACATTGCATTTAAACTGCTGAAGATGGTTGGAGATGGAGTACAGTATATGCTGTTCCTAGTTATGAGAATAAATTTTAATTTTGTTTTTATTCAAGATATGTTTTCATTTTCATCTATATATTTATGGTTATACTGAGTTTACTTCATGATATAATAAACAAATTTTGTCCTATGTAGTACTTAATGAGTGTAAAAATCCATCACTTGAGTGAATCATCTACTGAAATATGAAAAACTATGTTTAAAGTTAATTACAAAAACATAGTTACTTAGGACTAATGAACGGGCCTTATCATACTCCCAGCATATTTAATTAACTTCTCCAAAATGGATTTCAGCTTTACTGGCCCCTTTCAATTGGATAACATACAAAAACAGAGTCTATGGTGACTATCGCCAACATTACAATAATTATAAATAATTACAAATTATTATTAGGGTTATAAATTATATCTAGGTCAGTACCAATACAATACTGTGTAAGTCCAGAAAAACCTTGGGAATAGTCCTTTTGACTTCTTTATAATTGTGGTTATTTTCATTTTTTCTGTCTTCACCACAACTGCAGGTTATGCTAGCTCAATTTTCATTTGGATTGTTTTTATTAAACAATCCAAAATCAAAAAATTATATATTAAGTACCAGGGGGACCCAAAAAAAAAAAAACCGAACTGAGAGCACGCTGCTGTTCGTAGATGTAGTAGAGCGTTCTCCCGCTAGATGGAGTTAGTAGAGACTTTTACGAAACAGCTGTACAGATGGCATCAGTTTGTAGGTTTACATTTTAGCATAGTGTTGTGTTTCTCTTACTGTTATTCTGTTCCTCCTGCGAAGTTCTGAGCATCCTTCAACATCTCGAAACGATGAAAACGTTGAAAAAATCCACCAAAAAACTTTTAAGACGTCTGTGAGAGGATGTGCAAAGGAAGCACCCGAAACTTTGGCGATCAGGTGACTGGTTCCTTCATCACGACAACACCCCCGCACACATGGCCTTACGAGTGACCCACTATTTGGCCTCTTGGGGATGGCCTGTCATTCCCCACCCTCTGTATTCATCAGACCTAGCCCATGCAACTTTTTTCTGTTTCCGAGAATGAAGAAAAATCTAAAAGAGAAGTGTTTTGATGATGTGGAGGTGTAAAAACAGCTTCACTAAGGGCACTGGATGATATCAAGTTTGGAGAGTTCCAGAGATGCTTCAAACAATGGGGAAAAAGACTTGACAAGTGCATCGCATCTAATGGAGAGTACTTTGAAGGTGACTGAAAGAATTTTGTAAAAAAGTTAATAAATGAAGTTTTTATACAAAAAATCCGGGTTTTTTGGGTCCCCCCACATAAAAATATTATATATAATTATACTTTTTACAACATTATAAATGTAAGCATATAGTTTCACTGTGAAAAAATATATCTGTTTAATATTTAAAGGTTATTTTAATGTTTTAAAAAAATCTAAAACAAATTAAGTTGTCAGTAATTGAAAACTTGGCAAAACTTAAAGTATTTACCATTTTTTCCATTATTCGTCTACTAGAACTGTATGAACTGGAAATTTCGTTATTTTTTGTTCTTTTGCTTCTTATATTTATAGAAAGATTTGCTGACTCAGGAGTAGAAGGACGTTTTTGAATATTCGAAGATAATTCAGAATTTGGAATTGATGTTAAGCCAGCAGATGGTTGATTTGTTGGTGTAAATGCAGAACCAGAACTAGAATTACTATCACGACGTTGTCGTTTTGAAGATTTTGGTTCACTACCGTCTTTTTCTCTTGAAGATCTTTTCCTATTAAAATTAAGGCACACATTAAATAAATGAAAATAAAATTAAATAAAAAAGTTGTAAAATAAAGTGAAAAATAAATACTTATATTTCAAAATAATTCATAGTTAACAAATAAAATAAAGTAAAATATTTTTCATATTCTTGTTTCATCTTTAAAAGTTCTTTTGAAAATAATCATTTACAGTACTGTGCAGATTGAAGAAAACCAAGTTAAGTTTGGGATTTTGTGTGTTTTAATTATAAAATAGGATGGCAGCAAATTTGCAAAACACTGATCAGCCATTTTTTTAATACCAAACTGTTATATTGGGTTGGCCCATAAGTCCTGGCATTTTTTTTAAGTGAAAATTTTGCGTAAAAAATAAAATATTTTGGCAATGCGTTTTATGTTATTTGATAGAGAATTATGTGCTCTACAAAATAGTGTGTTTAGTTTTTTTTATGCTGATATACTTTTTGTTCTTTTCAGGTCAATAAAATGCAGTGTCAAGTCGACCAAAAAAAAGCATTTTCGATACCTGCTTTTTACATTTAATTGAAGTGCCAAAGCCACATTAGCTACTCGAGAGATTTGTGAAGTGTATGGCAAAGAAGCGATGCCTCTTAGTATGGCTCAAAATTGGTTTAAGCGATTCAAAGATGGCAATTTCGATCTTAAATATATGCATCGCTCCGGATGCTCTGTTCAGTTCCATGAAGAGCGACTGAATCAGCTTATTCACAAAGATCCATGCCAAATGACGAGGGAATTGGCAGAGATAATGGAATGCTCCCACAGTACCATAGAGCGTCACCTACACTCGGTGGGAAAGATCCAAAAGTTGGGTGCATGGGTTCTGCATGCTTTGAATGACATCAAAAATCAACAAGTTATGATTCCACTGATTTGCTTTGCCTGTCATCGGTCAACTTGTGGACACAAGCAACAATTCCGCTACCGAATTGTTACTGGCAATGAGAAATGGTGCCTGTATGTCAATATGAAGCAGTGCAAAGAATGGCTTGGTCCCGACAAACAGGCAAAGCAAATCAGTGGAATCATAACTTGTTGATTTTTGATGTCATTCAAAGCATGCAGAACCCATGCACCCAACTTTTGGATCTTTCCCACCGAGTGTAGGTGACGCTCTATGGTACTGTGGGAGCATTCCATTATCTCTGCCAATTCCCTCGTCATTTGGCATGGATCTTTGTGAATAAGCTGATTCAGTCGCTCTTCATGGAACTGAACAGAACATTCGGAGCGATGCATGTCTTTAAGATTGAAATTGCCATCTTTGAATTGCTTAAACCAACTTTGAGCCGTACTAAGAGGCATCGCTTCTTTGCCATACACTTCACAAGTCTCTCGAGTAGCTAATGTGGCTTTGGCACTTCGATTAAATGCAAAGAGCAGGTGTCGAAAATGCTCTTTTTTGTCGACTTGACACTGCATTTTATTGACCTGAAAAGAACAAAAAGTATATCAGCATAAAAAAACTAAACACACTATTTTGTAGAGCACATAATTCTCTATCAATTTGATCTAGGCAAAGAGGAAAATGAGAGAGAAAACATTCCCAAGAGATGATTGCAATGCTTCTGATAAAATCTAGGCTAGACCTTCAGGAAACTATTCCCAATTTGAATAAAGAATTAGCCACAGCTGGAGTTCATGATTCAATAGTTCACTGCAGGCTTCTGAATCATTGATGACATGCTCATAACTCCCAAAACAATCAGCTCTTAAATGAATGATAAAGTGACTTGATTACACAAAAAAATACAAAAATTGGACTGTGGCATAAAGTAATTTTTGAAAGCCATTTTTCAGTCCAACACTCCCAAGATGGTAAAAAAATTCATTCAAGAAAAATGGAATTGTAATTCTGAATGAACCAGAAAATGCACTCTTCATCAATCTCACTGAAAATCATTAAGATATTGTTGACCAAGACTGGTGCTACCTTACAGACAAACTGGGTATTTGCCCGGGGTGGCAAATTTTCATAAATTTATACAAAATTTTCAGGTGTCTTATTTTTCTTTTATTTATATTACATGATGCAAGTTGAATATTGATTGATGAAGCAAGGTAACGGCATTTCAAAACAAAATTTTTTTCATTTTATGTAGAGGGATAAGGGGTGTCAAATGTGTGTCTTAACCAGGGCAGCATAAACTCTAGCATTGGCTCTGCTGTTGACTAAAGAGGACTGCATGACCAAGGAAAAAAATCCAGAAACAAGTTGCATAACTTTCCCAGCTTCACCAGAAAGTTTCAGTCAGACTCCATTTGCCAAAAGTTGTTTCTCAAGCTTCACCCACTTTGTAGAAAAATTTTCTAGGACAAAACCTAAATCTATTAGATGCTTTTTTTTAGTTTTAAATTTATTCCAGCTAGTAATTATTTAAAATAAAATTGTATGCTGTACCATCTGTTATGAAGTTTTATTAAAAAATAAATTATATATTATTAATTATTATAAAAAGGTAAATGAATTTTTAATTGTAATGTCAACAATGAGTAAAATTTTAAGTCTGACTTGACTTGAGATATGACACATGATCCCATCTATCTCCCATACCTCTCAACCATAAACCACCAAAATTTAATAGCATCAATGTCCCTCATATACAAGTTACTAATGCTCATATACAAGTTAATATCTGCACCCTATCCTGAGATATTAAACAAAATACATATACACACAGAATTCCCCCTTTTTTACTTTTTTGAGATCAGGGATTTCATAGCATTCACATCTGCAAAAAACCCAGAGGGCCAATTGCAAAGACAACATTTAGATGCCAACAGCCATTTACAGGTCGTGTACACCACAGTTCAGAAAAATTTCATTGCAGAGACAGCGTTTCTCACTTGCCACAGTTTAGACAGCAATTAGAAACCAGTAATTTGACCTACTTTCTAGACTTGCTCAACAGTATGTTTAAAATGGTTTTTTGATTCGAGTGATAGTTTTGTTCGTGGAAAAGTTTAGATAAAAATGGATATCGTTCCTTTGATAAATGTTGTAAATGATACAAATCGACAAAATTATTCATTAATTAATTTCTTGGAGCAAAAATAACAAAATTAAATACTTTAAATTTGNCTGCACCCTATCCTGAGATATTAAACAAAATACATATACACACAGAATTCCCCCTTTTTTACTTTTTTGAGATCAGGGATTTCATAGCATTCACATCTGCAAAAAACCCAGAGGGCCAATTGCAAAGACAACATTTAGATGCCAACAGCCATTTACAGGTCGTGTACACCACAGTTCAGAAAAATTTCATTGCAGAGACAGCGTTTCTCACTTGCCACAGTTTAGACAGCAATTAGAAACCAGTAATTTGACCTACTTTCTAGACTTGCTCAACAGTATGTTTAAAATGGTTTTTTGATTCGAGTGATAGTTTTGTTCGTGGAAAAGTTTAGATAAAAATGGATATCGTTCCTTTGATAAATGTTGTAAATGATACAAATCGACAAAATTATTCATTAATTAATTTCTTGGAGCAAAAATAACAAAATTAAATACTTTAAATTTGTTTTAAATGTTCCAATTCTGATATTCAAATGGGTGAAAACTTAAAACTACAATTAATTTAAATCAGATGCATTTATTTACAATTAGGGTATCGTGTCGGTTATAAAACGTTAATGCATTTCAGAGTCGTTATACTGTTAAAAGAAATGAGACAATTTTAATAATTACAGAAATCTGTTTATAGATATAAAAAAATGTAATATTAATAATAAAATATTTATTCATTTCAATAGTAATAAGATGTTGAAATCCTTAAAAATCTATTCCAAAGAGGAATTTTGAATTCAGTATAAATTTTCTAAATATGGATTTGTTCGTATTTTAAACCATATTGGTGACGAAAATAAATATCAAAATGGAAAAGGATCGTCATTAACAGCTAAACAATGGATGTTGATGGCCTTAAGATTTTATGTTCCAGAAGCTTCCAGAATATAGCTGGCGACTTTTTCTGACATCACAAACGAATAATCTGATTGGCCGAACAACTCCTAAAACAGGGGAGTAATGGCAAAGAAAGTAAAAGCCAATGTTTTTCTGAAGTTCATTTAGAGGATGTTCAGAAATAGATGATTGTTGTCTTTGCAATGCATTTTAAACTGCAATTTAGCCAGCCAACATCTAGAGGCCGTTCTGTTGTTAAACATCGTTTAACATAAACTCTGTCTCTGCAATCAACTGAGAGGGTCAAATATAGCATGATTCCAACACTTTTCCATGCAATATACATAACAGCCAGAAAAGTGAAATAAGTTGTATAATCAAAATACGGTTCTGTAGTGGTAACATCAAAGAAACTTGTAAAACTCTTATTGATTCCATGCTAAACATAAGAAATCAATAAAAGGTTTCCATACTACATACTGAGTGTATGTTTTTGATAAATAAATTTGTAGAAAATAAATAAATACTGTATTTTCTTTTTTTTTCTTCTATCTTGTTTACATTAATTTACACAGTACTCTGTAATAAAGAAACTTGCTAAAACACTAACATATAAACTATTTTATATTCAACCATTTACACATTTCAACTTTTCCTAATAGCCAGTTTTCAAAAATATCAACATCTATCTTCCAAGATAATATTAACACAAGATAATTAATCAATCATTTGCCTTACACATTCAGTGGACAATGATCTACTACACAACTTTCTAATTATATATTAATTTAACAAGCAATATAATTATCTAAAAATACTGAAAAATAATACACTAAAATTATTGTAGTCTATGGAAATCATGACAATTACAATAAAAAAAATGTTTGGCATATTTATATATTCATTATTAATTTTTTAATTGATGGAATTAAAATTTTTAAATCATATATGCATACCAATAATATGTCAATAATATTTTTAGATCACAAACGTTCTTTTTTTCCTGAAAATACTGGAAATTCATTCATATTTTACTATGGTTTGATTTATCTATTAGAATCATATTAGCAGATTTAA